TCTGCTGCCGGTATAGCAAGGTGATCTTGTGCTACCTTTGCCATACAACTAAATTCAAGCATGTTGGCCTTCCACCAGTTTCGTATAAACTCGGACTGGCTCTGGCTTATATCGAAACCAGTGCTGATTGTCGGAGTATCGAAATACTTATCGATATCAGACTCAGCGACGTTATACTGTGTAGGTTGAAAGGCTTCCAGAAATCGATATTCGAAGCTCTTCCAATTGGTGCTTGGAGTAGTCGACACAGGCTGTTTTGGAGCGGAATATGCTTTCTTCAGGAACTCCCGGATTCGGTCAATAATCTTCTCTCCATCTAGTAGCGTTTTGAGCCACTTGGTCTTGATTTGAGGGTCCAGAACGCTTGCGATATAGTATATGTCGTTGTCTTTGACGCAGTCGTGGTACTTCTCTAGGAGTGAGATTCCACGGAAACAGGAACAGTTATTGCTGGTGAGACCTTCTGCCACTCGCCTCGTCGTTCCTTAATAGCGAGGAGTATAGAACGGAGCTCTCCAAACATACGCGCCGCCATATGAATTGAAGGGCTATCCCGAGAGACGTATCGGTATATTCGTTGAAGGGAGCCAGGATCTTCTTGATATCCGAGAGCTGTCTCCAGTCGCTGGGTGTGAGACGTAAGGCTTCGATATCTGGATCATCGTTGACTGTATCTTCGAGCTGACGGCGACACTCTTCAGCTCTCACAATCATAACAAAGGTAGAGTTCCACCGAGTATCAACATCGTAATTGATAGCCTTTGTACAACCAGGTCGATATCCCACTTCTGTATCCGCTGAGGAGATCGCGCAATCCAAAGGACAAGTAGTCGAAGCTTTGCAATAGGCGAAGTAGGAGCGTTGACCGTCTTCCAGCTCCTCTTAGCAACATCATCAAGGAGATCACAGGCTTCCTTATGCGAACTAGCGCGTAGAGACCTCAATATAGTTTTCATAACCAAGTTCAAGATGTGAGCAAAGCAGCGGATTTGGGAGTTATGGGTAAATTTCATCGTCCCTTCTCGAATGATAGTCTCGGCCAGGTACTCATCGTACCGCTGAGACAGCTTTTGGTAGAGATATCGGTGTAGGGTATCGTTATTCGATGCGTTGTCAGCTGTAATTGTCATAACTTTATCAGATATATGAAACCTCTCGAGAACCGTCGCAACGATATTAGCAAGGTTCTCTCCAGAGTGGCTGCCTTCAATTTCAACGAACTCAATACAAGCTCGATATTGCTGGAAGGCAGAGGACATCCAGTGAGCATTAATGGCTAGCATTGGCAATGAATTCTGACTTGTCCAACCATCCAAAGATAGCGCAATTGAGGATGCTGAAGACAATAAGATTCGAAGCTCACTGTCAAGAGCATCAAGCCGAAGACATAATCGGCGCGACATAGTATCCGCACTTGGTATGGAGTCCTGAAAGCCTGCAGACCTCAACATAGCCTTGAATGAAGGCTGTTCGACGCATGTAAACGGTTGGCAGGTTGATACAATCCAATTCAAGTCAGCTTCTCCGAATGGGAGCTTTTTTTCCTTAGAAATCCATGAGCTTAACGGACCTTGGCACCCTGAATGGCCGTCCTCGAAGAGCTTGTGGGTTTGCTGCAGGTGCTGTTTCAACGCTGTGGTTGATGATCGCAGTTTCGATGTAAATCGAAAGAATCGGCAGGTGGATGGCGACACAATACACAGGTGTTTAAGCTCGGACCGCTCCTTATTTCCTAATCTCCAGGTACCAGATTCAGGTGTAGTAAGGTAGTGTTTCCAAACCCAGCTCCGCTCTTTCGACCTGGTCTCATCTTTCTGCTTGATTTTGACTCTATCTACCTCGCATTCGACCTGAGATATTGATTGCGAAGGAAGTATATCCGTATCAAGATTCGATAAACTCATAGAGACATTGCTGGGAGCTGTAGGAGAGGTTGAAATCGGAGGAGTCGGCGACTTAAGGGCGGACCGCACCGCCATCTTCTTTCGGGGAGGCGGAAGTGGTATTTATCCTCTGCAAGGAGGCCATATTTATTAAGCGCCGCATAATCGCGTTTATTCTTCCTAGTATTAGGACAGTCAACTGTTGTAGCAAGTGGAGAAGTCATATGTAACGTTATATTAGTATTTCAAGCTTGTGTCTTGATCGATCGCTTACCCTCGGGCACCCTGAAGTGACGGTTTGCAGTAGCTTTTGAACCCCATTTGGATGTTGTTCTTGGTAAAAGCACGTATGCGCGAAGACACGTTCTTGTGGAGTCTCCGCTAACCCGATTAGACTATCCATCTACTCTTCATTAAATGCAATGTGCAACTATTCATACTATAACTCTATATTGATATATTACGTGTATCTCAGTACGATCTATGAGCTAGTATAATTTGAAGCAAAACAGACCACATATAAGATTATCGATCTGTGGAGTAACCTCAGGAGTCGAATAATATATATTTGGATGCAGGTTTTGGAAGAAAATTGCATCAATTAATACTGCCCTACAGCTTCTTAATCTTAAGGTCAGATTGCCCAATTTTGATATCAGACTGAATCTAGCCTACTTATCTCTGTATCCAACTATTAATTAACTAATTATTAGACTACCTGTATGAGGTATTGATTGCTAGCTATCGTATTGAACAACAGGCGTGATTGACCGCCTTCCCAATGAAGCTTTAGAACAAAAAAGTTCGCGAACTTCGAATCGAAGTCGAATCGGTCTTGAATTCGAATTCGTACGAATCGTTATGTTCAATATTAGTTCGAATCGAATCGAATTTGCCAAAAGTTCGATTCGATTCGATTCGTGCGGAGCGGTATGTGTTGGTGTGTTGATGTGTTGGTGTGTTGATGTGTTGGTGTGTTGATGTGTTGGTGTGTTGATGTGTTGGTGTGTTGATGTGTTGGTGTGTTGATGTGTTGGTGTGTTGATGTGTTGGTGTGTTGATGTGTTGGTGTGTTGATGTGTTGGTGTGTTGATGTGTTGGTGTGTTGATGTGTTGGTGTGTTGATGTGTTGGTGTGTTGATGTGTTGGTGTGTTGATGTGTTGGTGTGTTGATGTGTTGGTGTGTTGATGTGTTGGTGTGTTGATGTGTTGGTGTGTTGATGTGTTGGTGTGTTGATGTGTTGGTGTGTTGATGTGTTGGTGTGTTGATGTGTTGGTGTGTTGATGTGTTGGTGTGTTGATGTGTTGGTGTGTTGATGTGTTGGTGTGTTGATGTGTTGGTGTGTTGATGTCGATGCGGTGAAATGTGTGTAGCGAAACATTACTGTTGTAGTGAATGGTCGGGTGGTGAAGAGAGGGGTGTTCAACGTCTCATGGAGGCAGCGCGGTTTCTTGCCATGTCACCCACATCATAGAAACTTCAATTGCATTTTTTTGATTTCGCAAGGCAATTTTGATCCCTGTTGGTCACGCCTTGACGTACAGCCTCCACCAACTCAGTTGAAATGATCTGATTCACACATTGCTCATCTATGATCACGCAATATACTGTACGCTCAAGATCAGACCTACGGGTGTAGAGCCATGTGATGTGTCTCGAAAATCCGAATCGTGGGCTCAATTCAAGATGATTATGCGATAGGCTCTGTTTCTTGCGTCGTCAAAGAAATTGCTTGCGATGACTATTGCTAGTCACTTGAACCTATTCTACACTAGAATGCCTACATCATAGAGGGATTGCGAGAGTGAGTGTAGCTTTCCCTCGTGTTCAACTTGTCATTGGGAAGCTTTGGCTCAAGAATATCTGATCAGCTCCTTCTACATGTAGGAGCCGTCGCAACTTCGTCAATAATTTCCCGTCAGTACTTACGATCCATAGTCCACTCAAGCTCTCGTAGAATGTCCACTACAGCGATGAAGAAACGGTCGTTACTTTCTGTGGACGTATTCCTGAGCCATGCGATACAGCATGCTCCGCTACTGATATAACACGGTTGAAGTCCGATCGGGGTTCAACATAAGCCATCTGAAACCAGACCTGGCAAAAATATCTCTCTACGATCGCCGTTCAGGACCGGATGATATTCGCACAGGGTTAATCTGATCTACGTGTAGTCGTCGCAGGCATGCACCTAAACCATCCTTCCAAAGCAAATATGACGTGAGCGCTTATTAGGGGTAGAAAATATAGTATAGACTGTATGGGAGAGTCCAAGGGGTCCTACAACCCGAGGGCTCTTGTGGTGCTGTTACAATCATCGTACCCACCTTCTGTGAATTAGGCGAACAGTGATGTGATATGCCAGAGATCGTCCGGACGCGATGAGTTTGCGGAAACATCATCGATGCTCAAAGTACAGTGAGCTCGGGAGGTAGAGAAGTCGGTGATTTGCTGGCTAGACCTGCTTGCGCCGCCAATTGCGATATGTTAGAAAACGGTCTCAATGGACAAAGGATATTGGATAGCTTGGCTGACCTCCAGCTGCAGTGACATTCAATGTATATGGGCTTTGCACATAGTGCTCGGGCTTGGATAGAAAAACGCAGGCTTCGGAATCAAACCAAACAACCTTCGGTCCAATAGGGACGAGACAAACATTTTTGATAGCATACAGCTCCGTGTATGTCCGAATGATTTCTTCCCGCTCGCTCGTTTGTGTCGACAAGCTCAGGAACGCGGAGAGGAAGAGGGATCAGGGGGACTCTATCAGATGTGGTTGTAGGTTCATCTTCGACAAAAACCCCGCAACGACGGGATAAGGGCTAAGCTAATGACACTGCGATTCTTGTGCCACTCAACGATAAATCCCAGCGTAATATGACCAAGCGCTTCAACAAGATTGCCATTGAAAAGCAGCTCCAGATGTGGTCGAGATATCTCTGTCGAGGCAATCTGGGTACTTGTTTCAAGTAGGTGGACGATCACACTTTTCCTTCCTCCAGGCCTGGCCCGAACGGGAAAGGGAGAACAGGAAAGTATTCTGTCACAGAGGATGCTTGATGGACGAGAAGACCGATCCGACTGTACTGTATTTAACGTTCTGTTTAAGGGGCCTGTCAGGTCCCCATCCATTTCCAGAGGACTTGCATCAACTGTTCGCGGTGGATCGGTTTTCCGATATAATCATTCATCCCCTTAGCAAGATACGTCTCCATATCTCCCTTTAGCGCATTTGCTGTAAGGGCAACTATAGGCACGTCAATGCCCATGCCTCTGATTTGCGATGTCGCTTCCAAACCATCTAGCACCGGCATGCTGATGTCCATGAGAACCACATTGTAGGACAAAGTCGTTTGCTTGACTTGTCGAACGGCCTCCGCCCCGTCCCAGGCAACGTCGATGCGCTTGAAACCAAGGCTTTGAAGAAGCTTGAGCATTACCATATGGTTGACAAGGTTATCCTCGACAAGTAAAATACGCTTGCGCGGCGCAATCTCCCGCACTCTATTCAAGAGGTCCTTCGCATCATCGATTGAAGGCATGGCAGGCTGCTTGTTTGAATAGCCTATGTCTATGCGACCCATTCTGGCTGTGAACCAGAACACACTGCCTTTGCTTTGTGGACCAGGCCTATAGCCCACCGTACCGTCCATAAGCTCAGCTAAAGTTTTGCAAATCGAAAGACCAAGGCCAGTGCCTTGGTACTTCTGGGCTGCGGAATCGGTAAATTGCGTAAAAGGTGTGAAGAGAGTATTGAGAGCAAAATCAGGAATTCCAACTCCAGTGTCCGCAAACTCTGTTGTAACCATGTATGCCTGCGGGTCCGATTCGACGAGAGAGAAAGTAGTAGAGAGTCGAATATAGCCGGTCTCCGTAAATTTCACTGCGTTCCCAAGCATATTCTGAACCACCTGGCGATACCGTAAAGGATCACCACGCACAGCTTTAGGGAAGTCCGGTGGGATCGAACAATCCAGCTCAACTCCGGGTTTCAAGAGAGACCTGCAGTTGCGCATCACAGCATCAAGAATGCCCTTGATATCCACGACGTCGGAGTGAAGAGAAAAAGACCCAGATGACAGCTTCGAGTAGTCGAGGATGTCGTTGATAATCTGGAGCAAGATCGATGTCGAGTCCTCAATGATCGAAGCGTATTCAAGTTGCTGGTCGGTAAGATCGGTGTCCTTGATCATCGCGAGCGCAAGCTGCATACCGTTCATGGGGTTCCGTATCTCATGGCTCATATTTGCCAAGAAATCCGTCTTCATCTTCGCTGACTCCTCGAAGGCTGCGACCATGCGTGTCTCAGCAGCCTTCCGTCCCGTGAGGTCACGCGTGACCTTGACAAAGCCAACGTGACGACCGAATTGGTGAATGGGCGTGATCATCACGTTGGCCCAAAAACGCGATCCATCTTGTCGATATCGCCAGCCTTCATCTTCCATCCGTCCCTCCTGTAAAGCCCGTGCTAGACCTCTACCTGGCTTTTCTATATCACGGTCCTCAGGACTATAGAAAATGGAGAAGTGCTTGCCGATGATTTCCGAGGAAGAGTATCCCTTCAATATCGCGGCGCCAGGATTCCACGTGGTGATGTTGCCCCGAGTGTCGAGCATAAAGATGGCGTAATCTTTCACAGCATCGAGCAATATTTTGTAAGTTTCGTTCATGTAGGTGTGCTGTTCATCCGTCGCGACCCAGTGATCTTTTGAAGTGTCTTGTGCCTCCAATACGACAAAGATCAGTGACGATTTTTCGAAGATTGGCGTTATGCGAAGCTGATATATCGAATTTTTGCTTTTGACGTGTATACCCTGAATGATTTGAACCTCTTTCGAGCTGATAGCTGTACGTAGCGCTCCATATAGAGTAGAAGTGTCCGGCGCAGGAATGATGTAGACCGGAACGTCGCAGGCGCAAGTGCCTACTAGTTCATCCCTAGATTGACCTGAGAAGGTACAATGACTGTCTGAAACTTCCACGATGCACCAATCCTCATCAAGAATCAAGGTAGGGACCGGGTGATAACGATAAATTCGACCCAAGGAGGCGTCGAAACCTGTGCATTTCAGCGGCGTCTCCATCTTCTTCTCGTCCTTAGAATTCGAGCTCCGGTTGGGTTCTGCTAGTGCCGTCCCCTCGTCTCTCAGAGGTGTTGTGACAAAAGGCTTGCAGACGGGCGTGCCCGTATTGTCCAGAGTAAGAGTCAATAGACCACTAGTAAGAGCCATACTCGCCGTCCATCTCCGAACTACCAGTTGATACAGTGAGCAGAGTACGCGATATCTGTCCCAATATAAAATATGAGAATGAGTTGAGGGTGGGACCAATGAGGCGGCGTATTTGGGCGATATTTCCGCACAAGGCAGATTAACTGAAGGATAGATTGGTATGTGGTAGGCTGAAGTGATCTGGCTGGAGAGCAAAGAACGAAACAGTCGAGGGATGGGCCCCTGCGGTGTGCACGATTGGTGGGGCACCACAGTGGCAGATATCCTGTCCAGGAACAAGGGCGGGCCCACCTACATCATTAACTGCCCCGACCATTCATATGCGACTAAAGTAAGCAGAATTATCCACTCGGTTGTGAGTGGATGGCTCATTCCTCCGGCTGCGGAGCGTGGCACCGCCTTGCCTTGCCGAGGAGACTATGACGTAAGGAGCGGAAGAGGCTGTCACCAGATTTCTAGGATTTCTCCTGTTTGGTCTGTTGGCATGAAATATTTTTACGGGAAATTACGGTAATATAACAATGGCTCATGTATAGTTACCAGTGAATACCCTGAAACGAACGAAGTGAGAGAAAGGGATTCTCCGCTCGCGGGAATACCCCTGTTCCAAAACTTTTATTTTTTTGCCTGATGTTAGCCAAATTGTGGCTTCTGATTCGCTAGTCTGATCCACTGCTCGCCTCTGATTCGATACTTTCTGATTTCTTCTCATTCCACGCCCTCTTCTGATTGCTTTTCAAGAATTCATCATCTTGGGTTAGTGTTGGCGTTTTTTGTCCTGGTCTAACCCCCATCCCGGTGACATGAAATGCCCTGTGTGATGAAACGCCCACCAGGTACCTACACATTCGAGCACCGTGCTTCCCAATCCACGTATTGGATATTGCCTGAGAGCAGCAGAAACAATAATGACTTGATTTGTTGTTCGATAGCTCTTTTCAAACTAAGATCACAAAGTGTTAGAGTGGCGGATTACAGGACGACACGCACTACTAGAACATCCGCTGTTTACTACTATGACGCCAAGATCATCCACAAAACGTCTGAGATGGATAGGAAAGACAAGGTTGCATCATTCCGCCTACCTAGTGACCTATATTGATCTTTTATATCGTCAAAATTATGTTACCTGAGAATATACCAATTTTGGTGGAACATTTGGCAGCAGAAAGGTACATAAAACAAAAGTACTGATAAGGCGAATACACGGGATGGGAAAATCATGAAACTTGATGTATGAAAAATACTAGCGCTGTCAAGCGGAACAGCCGCCCCACAACCCTGTCCGCAAGTGGGAGATGGCCTGCTGTAAGGAAATGTAACTCTAGTAGAAATACCTCGGGACTGCATCAAACTATAAGGGTATACAGCACTGCAGAAAAAATGGCCAAGTATAGATAGCATATCTCCATGTATGCTGTCTTTACACTACATGTTATAAATACAGGTCTGGGATTATGAAGCCTCTTCACGTTTCCCGTATTGATCCAGGGAGTCTAAAGAATATCGAGACTAGTCACTGCTTCGGAATGTTCACCTCCAAACACCTGTTCATATCCTTCTAGTGCCGTCGATGGATCGCTTCCGCCTCTTCATATTTGCCTTGCTTGTCAAGCACTAAGCCAAGGTTATTGACACTGGTGAGCGTGGAGGGATGCTCGCGTCCAATCACCTCTTCATATCCTTCTAGCGCCCGTCGATGCATCGCTTCCGCCTCTTCATATTTCCCTTGGCTGCAGAGCACATCGCCAAGGCTACTGACACTGGTGAGCGTGGAGGGATGCTCGCGTCCAAGCACCTTCTCTCGTGCTTCCAACGCCCGTCGATGCATCGCTTCCGCCTCTTCATAATTCCTTTGATTGGAGAGCACACTACCAAGGCTACTGACGCTGGTGAGCGTGGAGGGATGCTCGTGTCCAAGCACCTTCTCTCGTGCTTCCAACGCCCGTCGATGCATCGCTTCCGCCTCTTCATATTTCCCTTGATTGGAGAGCACACTGCCAAGGTTATTGACACTGGTGAGCGTGTCAGGATGCTCGCGTCCAAGCACATTTTCACTCCCTTCCAACGCCCGTCGATGCATCACTTCCGCCTGTTCATATTTCCCTTGCCTGGAGAGCACACCGCCAAGGTTATTGACATTGCTGAGTGTGAAGGGATGCTCGCGTCCAAGTACCTTCTCTTGTGCTTCCAACGCCCGTCGGAGCATCGATTCCGCCTCTTCATATTTCCCTTGGCTGAAGAGCACTAAGCCAAGATTACTGACATTGGCGAGCGTGTCGCGATGCTCGCGTCCAATTACCTTCTCTCGTGCTTCCAACGCCCGTCGATGCATCACTTCCGCCTCTTCATATTTCCCTTGCCTATAGAGCACATTGCCAAGGTTATTGACACTGGTGAGCGTGAAGGGATGCTCGCGTCCAAGTACCTTCTCTCGTGCTTCTAACGCCCGTCGATGCATCGCTTCCGCCTCTTCATATTTCCCTTGGCTGAAGAGCACTAAGCCAAGATTACTGACATTGGCGAGCGTGTCGCGATGCTCGTGTCCAAGCACCTTCTCACGTGCGTCCAACGCCCATCGCTGCATCATCTCCGCCTCTTCATATGTTCCTCGAAGCATCAAATACCATCCGCAGTTTGAGGAAATCGTGGCCACATGCAGTCGATCTTCATCATGCTCATCAGATGTTGACTTCATCACCTCCTTCGCATGCGGAAGCAGCTTTTGACATTCAGTCCAGCTCTTGTACTGTCCATCGGGAAATATCTTTGCCATGATGGCTAGCGACTTCTCTTGCCACCGTGCCAGCTCGAGGTGGATCCCTAGCCATGTCCGGACCGATAACTGAACTAGTCGGTGCATATCAAACGACGCTGTTTCAATTTCAACCCGAACAAGAGAATAACTGATCAACGGTGCCACTGCATCTTCGAACTGGAGCCCATCACCATCGGCACGGACGAGGCCTTCTGGGATCCCCTGCCGATCAAACATGCTCATTAACGCCAGTAGATCCGTCGCCGCCGGCCAGTCATGACGGATTTGCTCGAAGGATAGCTGCCATGTCGTAATGACCGCATGCCGAATACTGGGGTCCCGCCGGAGGTCTTTGGCATCCTCATGCTGAAGAAGATGTGTCTGGTTCGACTCGCTCTCACGGAACAACTGAAGGTACCGGGAGACCGTGACCCGAGATGATCGATTCGCAATATAGGACCCCGCCTGAGTGATTGCCAGCGGAATATATTCAAGTGCCTGGACCAGTGCCTTCTCCTCCTCTGCAGACTCTCCAGATTGGGGGGCCGGAACCCTCACCCGCAACAAGGCGAGGGACTCCTCCTCACTCATTGGCTGAACCTTGATCATATGACTCTCGTTGCCCACCAGATTCCGCGCCGCAAGACCATTTCGCGATGTGATCAGGATTGATCCATGGGCGGCCTGGGGCAGGAACCTCACCAGTGGCCCTCGTTCATTGGATTCATTGCCACTGAAAAAGACACCATCCTTATCCGCATTATCTAGCACCATCAGCCAGCGCCCATTTTGTGGATCACACAACCACTGATACACGAGCTGGAAGATGTTTATCTTCGGATCATCCCGTCCCGGAATCTCCGCGACTGTGGCAATCTGCTGGTAGCCCTGTTCCAACCGCCCCGCATTGCTGGCGTGGATCCAAAAACCCACGTGTCCGGTGTGGATTTTCGCACGTGATAAGAATACTCGATAGCTGTCTGGGTTTTTCTAACGGGCAGTGAGATTAGTTGTTATTCAACTGGCTTTCACAGGGGACAGCTAACCCAACGCCGGCCAACCCCACCAATGCCACCCGCTCATGATGCTGGCCGATCGCCCCATGTTTTTCCTTGATCGCACTGATAACAGCTTCACGGCCCACAAACATCGGATCCTTCTTAAAAGGCACCGTGGAGCGCGTCTGGGGCTTCTGACGCGTCTGCGCTGAAAACAGTTCCCATTAGCTCTTAAAGAGACACTGGAGCAAGCCACTCACTAAACCGAGCCGCCACCACTGATGGCGCGTCTTTTGAGAACTGCTGCAGTCTATCGAGCGCCGTTCGATACCCGGCCGTGTTGCGCGTGTCGAATTTGACCACCATCGAGTGATCTGCATGCAGCGGCACCTTGTCCTCTACATGGTCGGGAAGCTGGAGAAGAGCCGAGTCTGCGCCAACCGTCGTGAGAAAATCCCCGGTGCGTTTCCATCGTCCGCTTTCCGAGTCCTATTGCGATCGTCAATATGTGTTATAGGCTGTCTCAGACAAAGACCAACACGTACCAATACCAACTGCCTCGTCTGCTCCGTCTCGTAGAAGCTGACCACCTTACGGTCCCGGATCAGATTCTTGAAGTCGGCCAGTTGATGGATTAGGACATCCGATTTGGTGGAAATTTGTTGCAATAGATGCTCTCGCGGATGGCTCGTATCCCCTGCTAGCATCTGCTGGATATCGTCCATCACTAATCCTTTACGTGGGATGGCAAAGAGGATCATGCCGTACGTGGCTCGATGTAGCGACGTGATCGCTGGGTGGTCTTCCTCCATCGTCTGGATAGCCCTCACCAGGCACTATAACTTGATGTCAGCGTATAACACCTTAAATCGGATGGTGATCCCACGTGAGCCAATATAATGCCTCCAAAGCCGTGTGCGATGAATATCAGAGGTCTCTGCTGGAGCTACTCGAAAAATCAGCCCAAACTTGCTATCAGTAGACAAGTCAGATAGGGTCATCTACCTCCTTCGTGTTCCGGATTTTCTTGATCTCCTCCATCAGCTCCCGCCCGTAGTCCAGGATCGTATCGACTCCGTGGCTCGACAGCTTGGAGTTGTACCCGTAGATCATCGTGCGGCACTGCGGAAGATCCTTCGACAGGAAGTCACGGAGCCACATCCGACCGAGATTTCCTCTTCCTTGCCACGATCCATACGCATGTCCATCCAGTCCGGCAATAGCAATGATACTACATTGCGCTATCCGTCAGTATTGATCTTCTAGATATAGATCAAGGCACAGTCCTTACTCTGCAACCACTGGCTCATTATCGTCCGCCGTGTAGAGCTGGGTAAATCCAAAGAAGTGGCAGTCAAAGTTGACGTCATTGTCCTCCACCTCGACCTGCCAGTCTCCAAGAGGGTCAACTCTCAGCTTATGGAGGAACTGAGGCACCCCACCGCGAAATTGCACCAGCGCCACCGTCTGTGTGTCGCTTTCATAGCATGAAGGCACTATTGTGATCTCGGCCTTCATGTGCGACCTCTCGTCGTCGCTGAAGTTGTCGCTGAGTGCCTCTTGCAATGCGATCTCGAGATCCTCATCAGGCAGTTCCCTCGACAGCCCTGTCACCCGGAAGACGTGCGACTCTCTCTGACTAGCCATCGTGATTCGTACTCAAGCTTGATGATAGAATAGTAAGTTAGATGAGAGCCGCCTGTACATCTTTGTAGGTAGATGGCCACCTCAACCTTGCCGGTGAGGCCGAATCAATCAACACGTGCGGGGTATCGAGCATATACCTATATTTATTATTATTATCACTTCGTAGATACCACTGTATACCAAATGGAATTCCTCCCGAATCATTCCTTGATGGAGAAAATAGTTCACCGCCACATACTGTATCAGTCCGTCGCTACCATCTAAAGGCTATTTTCCTACAAAAGCCGATTATCATAACCTTAACTTAATGGCTTGGCACCTCCTCCGTACAAGTCTTGCCCTGACATCACGTGCCGTAAGTTGAAACCAATCAGGCTTGGTTTAGTTCAGAGCTAGCCATTTTAGACTTAGCTCCTCGTGAAATGACGGTTTTACGTAAGACCACATTCCAGGGACGAAGGGACGAACCGAGAAGCTTCCTGTTCCTCGGGGGATCCCGTTAGACCTCGCCAAAACCCGTCCATGGACATCCTCATGGCGTCCAAGTCCGCCCATGGACTGTCCAAAGTGTCCAAAAGTGTCCAAAGCCGCCCAAAAATGCATAAATCTTCCACATAACTTCATGATTCAGCAAATAAAAAACGTTATCTACACTAGTCATAGTCACTACAATCGTTTTGACGTAGCAGTTGTTCTTCGATCATCTAAGAAGAGGACGTAGCTCTCACTCCGAGTGCTCACTGGCCGATGAACCTAAAATGGAAGTTGGAGAAGTTGTTAGAAGGGAAAACCTCCGGCAAAGGAAGGGTAAGGTAGGACGACACCGCCATCGTTGTGTCGGTGAATGATCGCTCCCAGCGCGACCTGATGAAGCAATTTGATAATCCCGACATCGATGAGACTACTGTGGAAAAACAGCTGCTTAAGTGGGGGGAGCTGTTTTGTCGGGGAAAGAAACTGAGGCTAAGTATAACCTTCAAATATGTTGAGGATGACCACTTCGCCAGAACTACCTTAGGTAGGGTCGAGAAAAGAGGAAAGTCATCCGTCACGAAAAGGATGCTCAACGAGCGAGACGCACAGCTGGATGCGGAGGAAAACGCGTCTGGGCAAGAATCGGTTTGGCGGGGCGTTTACAACCTGATGCGTTGTCCTTCCTCATCATGCCATCTTGGCCCACAGTGCTGGCAAGACCCACACGGGAAAAAACACTATGGGCTGAGGAGCCATAATTTAAACCGTCTCATCGACTTTGTCGAAAATGGCGGTAACTTGGAGTCTCATAACGACGTTCCTGATACTTTTCGTGAAGAACTATATATGAAAGAGCGGCAGAGACTGGAGACCCAACAGACCAAGATCAAAAAGATGGTCGGCACTACTGGAAGTTATCCTCCTATAAACATAGGCTTCAATGGAATGCAGCCTTCTCTTCAATCACAGGCGGCGAACCCAGCGACAACCTCAGCAAAGCTTCCTCCACCAAATGGTCAAGTTATGGATGACCCTAATATTCCTGGACTACGAGACGTGGCTGTGAGAGAATACAGCGCATGGCATAAAGCGAATGTCGGTGACGACAACTGAAGGCTCAATTTCGGCAAACATGCGATGTGGCGTTGGCTAATGGTCTAGATCCAAAGCTGATCTATGAGGACCAGAATCCGTCATTCCTCATCGACAAAGGAATTATGGTAAGTATTGCACGCCAATTCGTCAGAGATATTGGCACATGGTTTAAGAGTGTACGTTGTGTTTTGATTCCCTCGTTGAGAAGGCTACGCAGGGCGCAACCTGAAAGTGTAAGAATGCACGAGACAAGATGTAAGGCTAGTATGAGATTGAGTAGCTGAATACAAAGTATATATTTGGGGGAAACCCTCGCAATGTCGGCAAAAACATTGATTAATTACGATCCCCAATAACCACTCCAGCATGTCTAAAATGGCCTGAAGCACTCTCGTCTCGACACTCAACAGCCTCAATGAAACGCTCGAGAAAAGTCTGGAATCCTTGTTTTGGGTATTTTTCATACCGCACCCAGTCTCCGTCTAATGCATGCTTTCAACTCCGAGAAGAACTCAATGGAATTCAAGTCAGCTGAGTATGGTGGTAGATACACCAGTTTGACTCCTGCATCAGCGCATAATTTCTCTACCCGATGGCTCCGGTGAAAGCATGCATTGTCCATGACAAGGACGGACTTTGGCTCGGGCCACCTTCCATAATTTCTAAGGAGCTGCTCAATGAAGTCCTCAAATACCGCACGCAGCATCGGTTGAGCCTTGGAATACACGAGAGAGGACTATGCCGTCTAGGGCATATGCAGGCAGGATCTGGTACCTCTGGTCACGATGGAAGTTGGCTACCTGCAATGGTGCCACGCCCAACGGAGACCAAACCGTTCGTCTGAACCCGATTCGCTTGTCGCATCCAGACTCATCCACGTAGACGAAGTGATGTGATTGAAAGTCCGACAGATTATGCAGATAAAAATCCCTTAAATCGGCATTTTGTTCCTTTGCCCTCTATCGAGCCGCCATCTTCGACCAACCCACCGAAGAGCCCGTTTGAGGCTCGAATTTGTGACCTGGACACGGAACTCGTCCCATAAAAAGATTGCCATCTCGTCGACATATAGCCCGGGCTTTTCAAGGAGGCGATCACACAGTGCTTCTACCATCGGAGATGTTATGCTTCGTCGTCGACCGACTCGAGTACCCGATTCCTGAGCCACAGTATATTTGACCACCTTTACGATAAGGCCGTGGCTGATCCACTAACTACCTTCTTCGTACGGCATGGAAGGGACGAGTTGGTTTGATCATACGTAGACCAAATCTGCTCATACTAGTATGCTTTCTCCCTAGAGCTTATAACCTTTCTCGGCACTGACCGGGTCTTTTTCTTTTGCACAGCCCCCGCCGACCTGGACACAATCAATTATACCCACGCCTATATCTCATTCTCTTTCTGGAAAGGGACGCCTTATTTGTGTGTCTATCTGTAGTCGTTTGAGATGATGTTCAAGCACAGCGGAGTTTCCGCCACTACAACCACAAATAAGCTGTGTCCCGATGACGTCTCCCGAGGTCCACTCGGAGGCTCCGTAAGCGTTATGACATCCATGGATCAACACTATCCGGCGTGCATCTTATTCCTCAGCCCCCGACGCTTACTTAGACTCAACCGTGGATCCGAGGGGGAAAAGAGGAATGGCCGAACAAATCCCGTGCCTGCATCCGAATGTCGGCGAAGAGCGTTCGGACCACGGATTTTGGAATGCAAAGTTCTCAAGATGAAAGTATTAAAAAGGGTGTCAAGGATGCATCAATGGCGCAGATACTTTAGACCACGACTTATATTTTACCTTGAAATCACCAACCCGATATTGATACAACCTTCAATCATCTCCATGCATTCTGTCAAGCAACCTCGCAACACCGCCATCGTGGGCGCAGGGCTCGCCGGAGTGGCTTGCGCCATTGCAATCTCCCGAGAGCTTGGGACTTTTACTCCTGGTCTCAACATTCGAGTGTTTGAGCGAAGTGATTTTCCTGCACCTCGGGAGGTCGGACTTCTTGGCCAACATGTCCCACGAACTGCGCACGCCAATGAACGGAATGTTCTTGGCGTTGACGATGTTGATGAGGACCGAGTTGAATGAGGAGCAGCGGGGATACGCGTCCATTCTGGAGGACTCAATCTCCATTCTACTGCAGGTTATCAACGATGTCCTCGATTACTCCAAGTTGTCGTCTGGGTCTTTCTCGTTGAATGCCGACGTGCTCAACGTTCCCAATGTGATCAATGCCGTTGTGCGTAATTGCCAGCCAGCATTGAAGGCTGGGGTTGAGCTGAAGAGCACCGTCAGCCCAGGGTTCTCTCCTGAGGTGAAAGGAGACCCCTTGCGATTCCTCCAAGTCTTACAAAACCTGGTTGGTAACGCAGTCAAGTTCACCGAGAGGGGACGCGTTCAGATTGATGCCAAACACACCGTCGACGAGAATGATCCTGATATGTACGTGATTACCACGAAAGTGTTAGACTCTGGTATCGGAGTCTCCAATACAGCCGTGAACACTCTGTTCACTCCCTTCACAAGATTTGCCGATACAGCCACAAAAGTATATCAGGGAACTGGCCTCGGTCTCTCAATTTGCAAGAGCCTTGCCGAACTCATGGACGGAGCGGTTGGATTCCACACCAACCCGGTTGGACCGGGCAGTGCGTTTTGGATGACAGCCAAAATGGCAGGCATCTCACCAGTCGCCCAGGTGAAGCAGAGGCCCCCACTCGTCAAGGCACCACCACTTGATTATTGCGCAGCTCTCAAGAAAATTGCATCACAAAAGCACATACTCCTGGTGGAAGACAACAAAGTCAACCAAACCATCATGATCAAGCTCCTCAGCACACTCGGGTTCGAGTGCGTTGACGCAGCCTGGGATGGGGCAGAAGCAGTTCGTCTGGTGAAGCTGAAACCCCTAACCTACAGCGTGGTCCTGATGGACATCAACATGCCCGTCATGGACGGCCTCACAGCCACAGAGCATATTCGTAAGATGAAGATTGATGTGCCTATCATTGCATTAACGGGTAATGCTTTGAAGGGAGATGCGGAGACTTACATGGCCAAGGGAATGAACGATTACATTGCCAAGCCACTTCATCGTCAGCAGCTAGTGGATATGTTGTGGAAGTGGTGTGGATCCTGAGGGACTGCTTTTTCTTTGAATTGAGGGGTTGCTCCACCCTCTGACTATCACATCACATCTTCACCTCCTTAGACCGCCTCTCGGGCGTGGCATGCCACTTGGACAGGGAACTCAGGGTAATTCCGCATGAATGGATTCTATGGCCACCATCCCAAACCAGATTCTGTCACACGCCGTGTCCTTCTTTTCAAATTGGATTCGGCAATGTGGACATAGCTCCTCTAGTGCACGATGGTGCACAAAGCGGCCACACCGACACTCTGAGCTTTGAACAAACGTCCATTCAACCGACCGGGCTCTCCATTTTGACCTCTGGAGTTTACCTGAGCTTTCAGCCAAACGTCCCTTCATCTTACGGTCTTGCATTGACAATCTCACCTTAACTCCCCGAATTCTTCTCATCTTGAGCGCACTCCTCAGTCCTCTGATTGTCCACTCCGGCTCGAACCGTCATCAGCAGACTCAACACCCTCCGCTCATTTGCACTTGGAAGTGCAGCCGGAAGGAATGGTCTCTTTTAGAGAGATAGAATCTGGTGCTAGCATGATGCCCGTAGGAGGCACATGAACTGCTTCCCACTACCGATGTTGCAACCATGCAGCTATGGGTGGTCTTCTGTATCAACTGGCCCTTCAATACTACATCTATGAGGTTATCCCATATCTGTGGCGTTTAGGTAGCTGCATATTGGGTGGGTGATGGCGCAAGAACATGTATCATCTGTGTGCCCTGCGTCCATAAAAAAACGCACGAATTCACACACATAAACGTTTAACATACTTAGACTGGCCTCGTCAGTCCTTGTAATCGATTCCCGAAATTGGACGCTAATTTTCTTTGCCTGTATGGGAAAATCATTTCACTATCTTGATGACCCTGATTTCAGCCCACAATGGTCCAAAACAATTCAGGCCATCGTGCATGCGGGCATTCATTTCGATATAGACTACCAAAGGGCCTCGCTTGTTCCCCGGTGGGTGGACCCACTATGATGGGTCCACCGTCTGGGCAATCTTGCGAGACCCTGCGTTTCTATTTCTATCCGAGCTAGAAAACTTTCGACCCCTGGTGAACATAGCTTGTTATCATCGTAATATCTTTACTTTCCTTGTCTTCGGCACTCTTGGCTACTTTGCCACTCTATCTTTCGTTCTTCTTCGACCCTCTCACCCGCATCCCCTGGTGATCGCCTCGGTGATGGCGGATCCCACGGGCACCGCAGAGGTCGACGTCATCTTCCCGCGCAACGACACCTTTGAGCTAATGCCGCTTACGCCCGTCGTCTTTGCCATCCAGAACCCCGTAGTCGTCAAGCAGCTCTGTATATGTAGTACAGTAAAATACTACTAAGAAGAAACATACATGGTGTCTTTGTGTCGGAATATTCTGCCGGACTTATCGTCGGACTTTCATCAGCCGGACCTAAACTTGGATGGACGACGAGCCCCGATGATATAGGGTTCTATTACATATCATGTGGCTAGAAGAAATTGATTCTGTAGCAATTGCCAAGCAGCGCTTGAGCTCTAGTCAATGTAAACAGGGTCGACAGATCGACGAATCGACAGACTTCCGTAAGTGACGGTAGTAGATGCACCTGGATCCTTGTGGGTTCAAAGGCAGTAACTTCCTCTCTACGGCCGTGTACTTTTTGGTAGTGTGATTAGGCGAGGTCCTTACCCTTCCTGGATGAAAATAATAGTGAGTCATGTGGGGCTGGATCATGGCTCGTAGGGCTTGGCGATCCACTGGTGGTAGGGGGGGTCAGGCCCGTCGCAATCCTGATCTGGTCAATCAGCGATCTAGCGGAAAACCCGGCGGCCCTATGTCTAAGGAGATAATTAGAATAACCTTTTTAGCGTGTAGATAATTCCACTGCTGGGGGGGAAACAGGCAATTCGCTAAATATACCGGAGAAACATGTCTCAGCATTTCCTTGGGTTCACACCAGAGCAAGACATTTTCCATAGCCTGCTATCCATAGTCAGACATGACCACCTAAGATCTTGGACTGTGGTCGTTAGGTGGCGCTTGAGACAGTGGTACCATCGACATACCCACTTTCTTTAAAAATCTTGCTCTGGCCCAGACAGATTCTCCTAGCCCAAGTAAACGCTTAACCTCAAGCCCTGTCTGTGTGGTGCCTAGCTTAGTACATATTCATACAAGAGCCACCCTTGATTTACCTTGGATTTCTTGATATTTGATCTCCTCGCATGACTTGCCTCTATAGTCGAATTCACATATTCAATTGCTATGAGACCCACAACACTTCTTTTCCTGTTATTATGGAATATATTTCACCCAGTCCAGGCCACGGCCGTATTTGCACATTTCATGGTATTGCTTCAAATCTTCATCCCTCCATCCAGACTGCGCCCACTGACATACAGTATCCAGGTATACAATTCGGAGAATTTCACCCTCTACGACTGGGAGTTAAACATTGCCGAGGCTCAAAAGGCCCATCTGGACGCATTTGCGCTCAACCTCGCGTATAATTATCCAACAAACAACCGCTCCCTAGAAAACGCCTTCAAAGCCGCACGCACACTGGACTTCAAACTCTTCTTCTCCTTCGACTATGTAGGAAACGGTGCCTGGCCCGAGGGCGACGTAATAGCCGTCATCAACAAATACAGAGACAATCCAGCATACTACCAATACAGAGGCAAGCCCTTCGTCTCCACCTTCGAGGGTTCATCAAACGCCACCGATTGGTCTACAATCAAAAAGTTCGCAGACTGTTTCTTCGTACCAAGTTGGTCGGCCCTAGGAGCCAAGGAAGCGTTAGCAGTTGCTCCAGGAGTCCCAGACGGGCTATTTTCCTGGGCAGCATGGCCGGAAGGCTCCGAATCATTAAATACATACGTCGACTCGACATACATGCAATGGCTCAAAGACGCTGGCGACCTGCCGTACATGATGCCCGTCTCACCATGGTTCTACACCAACCTACCAGCCTACGGCAAGAACTGGGTCTGGAACGGCGATAGCCTCTGGTACGACCGATGGGAGCAAGTTCTGTCACTGAAGCCCGAGTTCGTGGAGATAATCTCATGGAACGACTACGGCGAGTCGCATTATATCGGACCGCTACATGATGATGCATATGCAACCTTCGAGATCGGCAATGCGAACTACAACTACGCCGCTAATTATCCGCACGATGGATGGCGGAGCTTCCTGCCCTTCGTCATTGGCCTGTATAAGACCGGCAAAACAAGCATACAAGACGAGGGTGTTACTGCTTGGTTCCGACAGATGCCTGGCAAGGCATGCAAGAATGGTGGCACCATGGGCAACTCGGTGACACAGGGGCAGAAGGTCGTTCCACCGACGGATATCCTGCGAGACGAAGTGTTCTACTCTGCACTGCTGCATTCCGCGATTGCAGTGGATGTAGCGGTCGACATTGGTGGCGTTGTGCAAGACGGGAAGTGGAAGAGTACACCGTCTGGTCAGATTGGACTTTACCACGGCAGTGTGCCATTCGATGGCAATACCGGGCAGGTGGTAGTGACGATATCGCGGCGAGGGAACAAGATTGCGGAAATGCGAGGTGCATCCATCTCGGACTCTTGTCCGAATGATATTCAGAACTGGAATGCTTGGGTTGGTTCTGATCTTGCGAACAGCAGCAGCATGGAGAAGACTACGACTACCTCTGCGAAGCCCACGGCTACATCTTCGAATTCTGCTGCTCCGGCTATTCTTGCTTTGTCGAGAGTTCCATTTACGCTGTTTTATGTGACATTGGTTGCAAGTATGGTGTCTGCGAGCCTAACGTAGCCTCCGCAGATATCATTGCTTGATACATATACTGATTCTCGTTTTGGCGCGAGCGACATCACCACTTTGGGGTGTGGTTCATCTTGGATTATCGATTGACGACGCGCAAGATCTGGCAGAGTAATGTTAAACTCTTGGATTCGGGTGCTATATCGATAGGTATATCAAAGCTGGCGGTTCGTTATTGTTAGGGCTGTGGCGTTAGACCAGATCTATATAAGACAAAACAAAAAAACAAAATTGGCTATGATCTGAGGTGAAGCTGCAGTATGCGAATGCTTGTTCTATACCAGACTACTCATCTAAGGTCCAAATCTAAGCAAGACTCATCCCAAACCTGACAAAAGAATCATTTCAGCTGATACCGGTCACTCAATTACACTTCCATGCATCAGATAAACAAGGAGTGCTTATTCGGATTGTCAGATTTGTTGGATTCGCTGCAAAACGAAGGAACAGCTCTTAGCACGTATGAGTACACGTGCAAGCACACTGACTATAATGACAAGTTCTTTTTTACGAATAAAGACAATCGCAAAATCCGATGATTATTTTTCGAAGAATGAGGGAGGTAGGTTGAGTCCAAAAAGATGAGAGAGGTGCGACAGATAGGGTCATGCAAAATAATGGACTTTGATGTAGAGTTGCTAAGATAATTTACCAATTGATTTTCCTGATTGGAATCAAAGCATTCACGTTCCTGTTGACAGCTCTAACAGCCTTAGGAACACACCTCTTTGCCCTAGGAGCTCTGTTGCTCCCGGGGGCTCCGAGTCGGTTTTTGGGAGTTTGCAAGCCGCGTCCAGGAACCACTTAGCCCCTAGGAAACCCAACGTAGCTTCTGGGACCTTATCCCTGTACCTCGGGGAATCAACGTCATATTCCGGTTGATAGCTTATTAATTCCTGGAGCCTTGAGTCCGGTTCCTAAAACCATAGGCTAGGCATCTGGGAATAACAAAGTGACTCAGATTTGTGCATAGGTCTGGAGAAAGTGTTTTGTGAGTTAGTACCCTACGCTGGGAGGCAGAAGATTGATTCTAGGATTCGGGAAAACAGCCCTGGGAGTGCAAAAGCTCCCAGATCCAGGCAATGCGTTCCCCAAACCAATTTTGTGTTCATTCAGGAACGTAGAGTGAAGATCCCAGGAGTAGATTAGTTTCCTGGGATAAGGAAGTAGCTCCAGGAGCTAAAGAGTAGTACCCAGGGGATACACAGCTCCTATAAATGCTTTTGAGGTTTCCAGGATCAAGCTCTATCAGCCCTGGAAATGATGGCTTGGCCCTGGGAGCAAGGTAGCTCCCAGGGGCTTCAGCGCGGTTTCTGGGGGCAAAGAAGCCGCTTCCAGGAGCCAAGCAGCCCCCAGGAAGCCCAAAGTAGCTTCTGGGGTCTTGTACCTCCACCTCGGGGAACCAAAGTCATGTTCCTTTTGACAGTCTTATCAATTCCTGGATCTTCAGGTGCGGTTCCTGGGGCTATAGCTTGCCTTTCCAGAAGTCGTTGAATGACTCATATTTGTGCGCAGGTCTGGTAAAGGTATCTTGTGAGGGCTTTCCGCCACCTCAGAAAGCAGAATAATGAGACCAGGATCCAAAAGTAGGGCCCCAGGAGCACGGCAGCTCCCAGATCTAGCCATTGTATTCCCAGAGCCAGTTCGTATTCATTCAGGATCGTATAGTGAAGATCCCAGGGGTAGACTTCAGTTCCTAGAAACAGGAAGTGACCCCAGGAGCTAAAGAGGAGTTCCCAGGGAATAAACAGCTTCTATAATATCTCTTGGCGTTTCCAGGATCAATCTGTTGATTCCCAAAGTCAGATTAACAATGTTTGTCGATTAAATAGATGAGCTGGTTCTAATACGTCGCGAGACAGTATGGATAGAATTGTCGAGGCTCTCCTGCCGACGCGCGAGTGGTGTTTTCTGCCAACAACGTCCGTCTTTGCGCTCCACAAGGCTTCAGCTGAACTCGCTGTCGGCATTTACTTTAGCCGCCGCCGTTAGGTATGTGCGCTTTTATCTACCGGCGCTCGGTTTTCGAGCTAAAAAATATATTTGGTTGCTAAGCTTGCTCCAAAACTCCATATTACCAGTATGTGGAGTCACGTGTGATTGACAGCCGCTTCGCTAATTTCCCATTTCCGTCGCGCGTTTGCTGTGAATTGTAACCTCCTACGCTGAGTGAAATTCAGTCGTGCCGACCGGCGAAGCGATGCAGAGGTAGAAGAATCTCGCGGTAGGTGAGCCCCTGCTAGTCTGGCTGAGCGACGGGGCCCACTCTGCTCGATTGATACCCCTGGGGATTCCACTGACCCCCGACGCGGTTGACTCTGATGAGGTTCGTTTGGTGCTATATACCCGACGGTGACAGGCTCTCTATCGGTTGATGGTTCGCTTGCCGAGGGAACTCGGAGTGGACGAATCAAAGCGTCTAGTGCCCCTTTGTTTTATCTCCGATCCGGCGATAATTGATCACTCGCCCCAAGGTTTTTCACGGGTAACGATGGGTTGCTCCTACAATTGCATGGCAATCAGTAACGGTTCGTGTTTTGGGGCACAAGACTTGGCACAAAGAATTGGATCCGGCGCAGCAGAAGGCGCGTTAATTCACTTGCCTTACCATGAAGACCGGATGTCTCACGCTTCTGCGCAACGAATTTCACAATGGCATGTCCGCATCGTGTTTTTTGCCCGCTGCCTTGATTCACAATATTCCGCCTAGGACCTGCTGCACGGTTTGAAGCGACGGGGCCAGAAATAGTATATAAGCCATGGCTTTGCGCCGAGCACTGACAGTAGTGCTGTATCCTCGGGGGCTCACTCTGGTGCGCTGTCAACGGTTCCCTGTCTATCATTAGCTTGTAGATCGGAGAGACATTTCATGGCTCACATGTTACAGTGGTCAAGACCAGGGACGAAGAGACGGCAAAGAGCCCCGTGGTGTTTGCGCTCGTGTATAGTGGTCGGAATGCACGGTTCTGGTTGTTTCGCATCATCTTTGAAATCAGTCCAGTTTCAGACAGGATCGGGCTGAGATTCATATACCTGCATGAAAAGTCGCCCTTTTGAATCGAGGATACATCCAGGGGCGGGACAGTGAGTCGGCTGCTATAGTGGAGAAAGTATGCTTTGACCAGTTAAACCAAATCTCGTCTCTTTGATCGGGCATGGATGGCACAGTAGATTTGCTGGGAACACATCTCTCACAGGCACTGTCTGAGTTGCTGGTCCACGATGTATCCTATGAATGCCAGTGCAGTGGAAATTGCAGTACTGGGTTAAAGGGGAAGAACTTATCAAGTGCCTCAGACAGACAGAAGGCCTGTTCGACTTTGCGTAGTCAAGTGATTAAACTGTAGAGCAAATTAATGGGGGTAGAGGACGTATTTATAGATTTCTCGGCTCATCCTACCATGTGGTGCTCTATTTGGTGGCAATCGTTGAAGGATACCTATCCTAATTGAGGCCTGTTGAAACCCATGTCTTTCCTTTTATCGCGACTATTGCAGCGACATTCTTGATCCCATTTTGGATACCCACCGATAGATACGAGTTGGGGTCTTGTTGGGAAAGATGATGCTGGGTCGGTTAATCAACGTTAGCTAGCGTTTAAATCCTCCACGGGCTCTACATTGAGTCACTGGGAGCTATTCAATCTACAATGAAATACTAAGGTTTCATGTCCTGAGTGTTGTACAATCATTCTCGAAATCGGCTTGACCGATACACACTGAATAACTCTTCCCAGGCCCCGCCGCCAAGATTTTAGCGCAGATAGTATATCGAGCAAGCCGCATCAAAGTGAGGGCCGCAGTATTATGCCATCTGTATTATGCCGCCATATAGTATAATGACCATTAATTTTACTGATCAGGGGTTGAATAATAAAATGTAATTTCACATGGCAGAATACAGGACCATACTGAAGCATTGTCCTCTTGCCCATCACTTTTTAATGCGGCTTGCTCCATGTTCTATCCGCGCTAAAGCCTTGACGGTGGGTCCAGGGAAGAGTTATTCAGTGTGTATTGGTCAAGCCGATTTCGAGAATGGCTGAAATTCATGACCTTGAATCTTATGTTGTATGTATGATCTCTCGTAATCCCTCGCAGATATAAAAACAAACCAGTCCTCTGAACAACAACACACACAATATCCTCTTTGGGGATGATGGTCATCTGTCTGTTTTCTTGACTAGGAATTCACTATTGTAGTGAGGTTTGTACGAGAAGTTGGTGGCCCCAAGGGGCCACTTGGAGTGGAGGATATCAGTGTTGAGTACATTTACCATTGACTCTTACATAGCTTTTTATTAACTGGCAGTTTTACAATATGACCATTTAGAACCAATAACTATTTCATATGATTCCTAGACGGTACCAAAAAAAAGAAAGAAGAAACAGAAAAAGAAAACGAGAAAATTAACGACAAACGAAATTAAAATCGACAGCGACTTAATTGGCCCAACCCATCTCTTATAGGTAAAATGAACGCATGCCTCACCCAAGGTTTGTCTGTTGGTTGACGATCTGAGATTTTTCAATTATCTTTTTTTTGCGAGAAGATCTATCAACCCATGTGACTTCGTCTGCTCCTCTGCGAGATTGAAACTGGCCCGGATTTCGGCCACGAACGATGATTGGCGCCGAGAAAGTCTCTGCAATTGGGACTGTTATCCCAGTTGATAAAGTTGCAATTACCTGAAGTCGAATGACGAAATTTTGGCCTGGCTTGCCAAACCTTAAATTCCTCTTCGTTGCATTGCGGAATCGCAGACGCCCCCAGTCGAAACAAAACATAGTATTGTCATTGCTTGTCGGCTGGGAATCAATAAAGTTCAGCGAGATAGGCAGTGGTTTGTTCGCGACACCTTGATTATCTCCTGGACTAGTATTTTCTGTCGACCCTCTTTGACACGGCACCACGCTCATTTGAGCCCACTCGCCTTCCAGGGATTCCATGGTAGCTATGGTAATTTCTTTCGCAATTATAGGAATTCGGTTTCCATGAAGCGTCAAAACATAGCGTAAGTCTTCCGGAATAGTGACGATGCCTGCAACTCCAAACATGTTACGCCGGTAGAAGATGAGATGTTCACCCCCTTTGGACGGGTTGATCTCAGACCCCGACGTATGGTCAACTTCAGGCCGATGGAAATTTCCAGATAGGTGAGCAGATATCTCAACCCAGGATTGCCGCATTGAAGAATCAAGCAACACAATCAAATGGACCGAGGGCGTAAACCCCAGCAGCCCATTGTTGTGGATTGTATGCTTCAAAGACGCCATAGATTGGGCTTCGCAAACATTTTCGTTGCAGTCAATATCTTCATTTGGTGGAACGAATTTATCCAGATATGATGGGAAAGGTTTAGGCCGAAAGGCAACTTCAGATCTGTATCAAGCGACCGGGTGAACCGCTTGTCAGCACGGCCCAGAGCGGTCATTACAAATTCTTCGCCCGATTTGTTGAATATATGCAGGGTAAGCTACTTACATGAAGAAAGCTTCTGGGTCGAAAATGGAGGAATCTTCCAACATTCCGAGGTTGCAGATGGGAGATGGATGTTGAATCTCTAGGGACACTGAGTGTACCAGAGCTGCAGAACGGCCAAATTTAAAAGCTTTCGGGAATACGCGGCGGTGCTCTGAGATTTGGCTGCGAACGACAGGGTGAGACGCGAAAGCAGAGATTATTACAGGCGACTTTTGTATTGACTTTTGCAGAAATTCCGCTGGGTTCAGATCATTTATTAGCGGTGCGTCGACGCAGACAGGCTGCCTGCGGCACGCGGCCGACCGGAGGAATGCTTGGGGGGGGGGGGTTTCGATGTATAAACATGCCCACAAACGCAGTGTCGCCGGTAATGGAAACCAGTTACAGTCTAGTCGTCTAGGCGGCTCTGCACCCGTACTTTGAAACGACATGATACAGCGCGATAGCACTACTGTCGACAATCAGTGAAGCGGTAAGGTCTCGTACGTAGCAATGGATTATCACTAAACAGCTGTTCTTCCTTAAGTCTGTCCCTCCGTCTTTACTCATCCCCATATGCCTGGTTTCAACCATGATCGTAAGGCTCTCAACGACCTTACTAACTAACGTATTTCACATACGAGTAGTCTATACAAACGAGTGGTCTACCCTACCCAACCTACTACTTTCAAATGCATATATCTCAACCAAAACTCCATTAAATTAAATACACTAAAATCATCTATCTAGCTGGGCATCTATTGATTTTATGCCCTATTTCTCCACAGCCACTACACTTTGGTGGCGCCCGTGTACATGGTTGTAAAGTTGGCGAAGGGCTTCTTCGTGGAGGGGAGGGAGGTGCTTCATCTGCTTCCACCGGCTCAGTAATGAATTGAGAAGCTTCTTGAACTGTGAGCCCTGCTTCAGCTGGTATCTGTTGTCGGGATCGAGTACGCTTTTGCTTCTGCTTCTCGTTGGTGGCGCGTAATTCCTTGTTTTCTTTCGCGAGTAAGATAGCACCTTGCATTGTAGGACGGAAGCCTTTTACAAGCTGGTTATTAATGCACGATCTGACGGGCTAGGTGGACTTCGAGATCTTGTACGAAGTAAAGCTTTGATTGATGAAGCCTGCCGACGTAGTTCTTTCTCTGTAGCTGGGGTTTTTGGTGTAAATTTTTGACTTGATTCACTACCCCGGCTAGGGGGGGGGGGGGGGAGGTGTTCGAAGCCGGATATTAAGCTTTGAAATCACTTGATCTGGTGCAAAGGGTACTAAACCGGTAGATCGGAATCTGTGCCTGAGGCACGAAATACAGGGACGCTAAGAGCTGGCCGATCAAAGCCCGCTGCAAGTTAGGTTAGCTCACCAGGATCTCGCCACATAATCGTGCCCGTTTCAGAGAGGATCCACAGAAAAGGAGCTTACTAAGAAGCAAGCCCCTGAGTTCTAGTATGTATGAAGAACCGACAGACGGATAGACTTAAGAGGAGACAGCTGTTTAATGATAATCCATTGCCACGTACGAGACCTTACCAATTCACCAATCGTTGACACATTGAATACTTGAAAATTACTGCGAAAATGCATAACCTAGCAAGCTCGTTCAGCTCACGAGTCTTGGCATGTTTGTAATATTTGTTATCGTACGATAATCCGCGGATATCCGCAAATGAAAAAACAATTATCGCATCTTTTCGTTGCGGATAATTCGATAATGATCTTATATCGTTATCTGCAATTTTCGGATACGATAATCGATTATCCGCCGATAATTTGGATACTGCCTCAGCCTAAACCATCAACCATGACGATTCAAGGCCTCAAAGGTTACACAAGCCATGCACACCGCCGACTTGGAAAAGCACTGCGAATGAGAAGAATAACGTAATGAAAGAAATATGAAAAAACCTCCTCTCTATTTGAACCTCCCAGATCAATCAATGCTTCCCAATGCAGCCAGTTGCAGCCAGACGCGACCGCTTTTGTTTCGTTCCCACCAGCACAGTCAATTTGGATCACAAACTTGTCTTCTTGTGCTACATACCAGCAAGATCGTCTGTCACACAGGAGCTGGATTAACACTTGCTTTTCCCTCTGCTAACGTTCTCAAAATGCGAAAGGGTGAATTTGGAATCTAACAGAATAGATGGCGAGGCCCACGAGGGGCCCTCCTGTCAGGGGGTATAATAGAGAGATCATTTTCCGTCCCTGTCGTGTTATGTTAACCGCAAAAGTTAATACATACCCACCTTCCATTGTCGCTTTTTACATCACATAATCTGTCATCAATGCTACCAAGTCAAAAATGAAAATCGAGTCTCTCTTGAATCCGTCCGTGGATAAGGGGAACTACACAGGCTCTTCACAATCGCAACACAAGCTCATGCTATCTTCGTTGCCCAGTCAGAGCTGCAAGAATACTTTGGGGTACACTATCGCTCCAATGAAGATCTGGTGCGGTCAATATCTCCGAGCTCAACACACCAGCCAGAGGACAATCTCGGCGGTGCCTGCAAACTTGCACACGAGCGGTGCCAGCAGAAACAGCTTGCAATTGCATTATCATAACCACAGCCAATTTATCTTGTACCGTCCACCAGACTTGGCAAGCTTTTCACAAAAGCTTTCCCAGAGGCACAGATTCCATTACAGTACTTCGAGGACCGACAGCGCAGATCTCCGGCGATCGCCACGGCCCAAGTACGAAGAAGAAGAAATGGATTTCATCTGGTACCACCGTGTTGACCTGTGCCAACAATGGAAGAAGGTCCACGAGAGCTTCAATTACCAATTCCCCACTCGTCAGCGCCTTGGTTTCCAGGGTCTGCAGTCCAAGTTTTATCGCTTCATCAAGCAGAAGAAATGCCCTACTCCCAGGGAGCTGCGCCGCACGCGTGACTGCGCCACATTTGACTCCAGGTCTTATTCTCCGCAATTTGGTGTAGCCGAATGGGCTGCTCCTGGTTGAAACGGCCCTGGGGAATCTCTGTCAGGTACGCGGGCGGTTACCAGACAAATCTCCCGGCATACTGTTAGTGCAATAGGCACTAGCTTCCTATTGCCGCTAGATCCAGATTGGAATTTTACCATATTCGAGTCACTCGACAGTTTCTCCGCTAGCTATTCTACACACAACACTGTTCTTAGATCTGAACTTTTCTATACAGATTATCTTAGGTAATTACACAGGAGATGTTTCCTAGTTCTGCTTGGCCGAGGCCCGTGATGGCATTTAAAATACAAGTTGACTAGTGGAAAGGTGTATTTCGGTAATACGAAAACCGGGGAAACGTAAGAATTATTAATATGCGCGAAATGTATAATATGAATGCGAATATGAGTAATGCGCTTATTCGCAGTCACAATGGGCTCATACCACCGTGTGTCTCTCGGCATTCGAACACCGTGAAAGAATAGCCTCCTTGTGGATTGCATTTCTGGCGTCCAATGGGTGATCCTCATTGTCAACGGTTGGCATCTCGCGTCTTTCCAATTCCGGAACTCCGAAAGACCCGAGGAATGCTGGTGGTTTTGTCTTGCTTCATGACAGGTGGGCCATAAATTCGCAGACGGCCAGATTGTTAGTCCAAGTCTGCGGGCAAGGAGAAGGTGAGGCAAAGGCCCCGTCATATCGAGCCCACAGATTAACATTGCCATATCAGCTACGAACTGAGAGAGGAGACGGTCTGGTCCCGAGTCACAGCCGAGCCAACCAAAGAGCCACGAGCTAAGAATCACCGACCGATACTGTTCTACCTGATCCTACTCCGCGTTGCTGAGCCGTACGACGTATTCGAGCAGGTGGAATCTAACAGGCGGAAACGAACGAGCGAAAACGAACCAATCGAACATACACGACGCTGCATCAAGGGCGCTGTCACAAAAGTTGTGGTGTCTTTGGACATATGTTAGGTAGATTTGATGCCTACGCACGCTTTTTTCTATCCAAGCCCGAGCAATATGTGCAAAGGCCATCTACCTTGAATATCACCGCAGCTGCAGGTCAGTCAAGCCGAGGGCGTGTATCATTTTCTCACTAAGATCGTCTTCTAACATATCGCGCGCAAGCAGCTCTTGCCAGGAGATGGCCGAGTTCTCTGCGTCCCCTACGTCCACTGTCCTTGAGCATCAAGTATATATTTGCCGAACTCACCGCGCCCTGGACGACGTTTGGCATACCACTGTCCAAACAGATCCTTTGTGAAGGTGGCATTGATGTCCGTAACAACACCACTAAGAGCCATCCTGCTGTGCGACCTCTTTGATCATCTCCTATACCTTCACTGAAATCTCTACTCCTTTTCAGCGCTCATGTGATTGCTTTCGGGGGCTGGGTTAGGCGCATGCCTGGTGCAATTACAAGTCAACTAAAGTACCAATTGCGATGATCTCTCCTCACGAAAGTTCGTCGTAAATAATGGCGGAGATGTATTTACCAGATGTGGTCAAGATGGCGCTTTTTATACCCCATCGGGCTTCAACCGTGTTTTCTCGGCAGCAGAGCATGCTTGATCGCATGAACTCGAGTACTACGCCCCAAACAATGGCCATTGCTCTGGGTGCAGTAGTGGATGCTGATAAATGGAAGATGGGCAGGCCATATAAATCGTAGTTGCTGACGGGATTATTCACGAGGTTGCGACGGCTCCCAGTTGTAGAAGGAGCCGATCGGATATTCTCAAGCCAAAGAAGCCTAAATTGGTTGTCTTTGTTGCGAATCCACTTGAGTGTCGCGACCGTTCTTGGATGTAGGCATTCTACAGTAGAATAGGTTTGAGTGACTTCAATCGCCGACTGAAGCGATGATTCTGACTACGCAAGGAACAGTCTATCGCATCACCATGTTTAGTTGAGCCAACAAACCGTATTTCAAGCGCTTCTCATCAGATGCTTCTACACCTGGTTGGTCTGACCTTGAGCGTATTGCCTGATTATAGCTGAACCGAGGGAAATCCGGTGTTTGCATTCGACCAGCTCTATCGAAACGGAGGCTATGGGCGAACTTCATTGAGTAACCACTAGGGGACAAGAAATGGCGCAGAATTGAACCAACGAAACTGATATCTCTGCCATGTGGGTGAGATGGTAAGAAAGGGCGTAAAGGCCGTGAGACGTTGATCAACACTCACCTTCACCGCCCGGCCATATACCACAACGTTCATCAACACTCACCAACGCTCATCAACGCTCATCAACGCTCATCAAGAGACACCACGATGCGGGCAATGCGCCGGTCAATATGAGCGTCAAAACTGCCCCCGGGGGAGAGAGCGCGATGCCTCGACTGCAGTGGAGAACACCCAACCGGCGACCGTAAATGTCCGACCCCTACAATCTCGACCCCCTCACAATGTTAGAATCCAACCTACGAATGTTACAATTGAACATTATGAAATCGAGGGCGGGTATGGAAGCCCTCATCAACGACCATCAAAGTCGGAACTTGGATGTGCTGTTCATCCAAGAACCATCGGTCACTACCTATCGAACACACGTCAATCACAGCGGCTGGCGTCTCTACCGACCAACTGTTCCCAGCGATTCGGCCCGATATCGAAGCCTAATCTATGTTAGCAGAAGACTCTCGACGTCATTCCATCGACGAATTCCTTGCGACCATCCGATCTGACGGCAATCAAAATCTGGACACTGGAGTCGCAGACCCTCCTCCTCTCAGTCTATATCCCTCCGGTGCCTCTTTAAACCCCCGAAGAAACCTCTGCCTGCGGAGTCAACCTTGAATGCCATCCGGGACACAATCCGGATTGTCTCCCAGGAAGACCGGAAACCGACGGGCATTATTTTTTACCGGTGACTTCAATCGCCATCACCCTGTATGGGGCGGCAATTATATTGCACCTCGATTCGCAGAGCAGGCAGTTGAGCTGGTCGACTTCTTCCAAACATATCATCTTCAGGGCTGTCTCCCCTGGGGGACCCCGACCTTCTGGTCTCTCAACCAACCCGGGAAGACATCCACGATCGACCAGACTGTGACAGACAAACCTAACCAACTCATAAAATGTCACCTATACCACGACAACTACGGTTCAGATCACCGAGCAACCTACTCAGAGTGGACTTTACGGCCACAGCGCAACCCCGTGGCCAATCATAAAAGAGCGTTTGAACGGGCTGATGGAACAAAATCGGAGAGCAGGCCCGACTCCAGATGGAGCCCTGCCCCGCTATCAACACACGAATAAAATAGAACAAGCAGTGGAGAAATTAATCGAGGTAACAACAACGCCGTTGTGCGATATACACCGCTGTCGCACCCCTCACCCTACTCCAAACGATGGTTCACAACAGACCTCAAAAAACAGCAGGCTGATCTCAATCACGCCCGGCGAAAATGGCAGGAGAGCTGCGCAGAAATCGGACGAGAGCATACGACCTCCACTACCCTCTTCCAGACCATGCCACAGAAACGCCGAGCGTGGAACCGAGCCATCGAAAAGGCGAAAACCGCGCACTGGAAAGAGTTTCTTGACGCGGCTGGTGAAGGACACCTCTGGAAGGCAGCCACATACATGAAGCCCCGGGACTCGTTCGCGAGTATCCCGACTCTTAAGACCGGCTCGAGGGAATTGACTGACAACGAAGACAAGGCCAAAGCGTTCATGGACAAGTTTTTCCCCAGTATGGCGGACTCCCAGGAGGAATCTTTACCCCCATCGCTGCCTGAAATCCCATGGGAACCGATCACCGAACTGGAAATCTACCGATCCCTAAAAGCCGCCAAGGGAACTACAGCACCAGGCGAGAACGGCCTCCCGACGCTTGTGTGGAAGCACTTATGGAAATACCTTGCGAAACCTATTACTCAGATCTTTACCTCCTCTATCACTCTAGGCTACCACCTGAAAAAATGGAGACGCGCTAAAATCGTGGTGCTACGGAAACCGGGGAAGCCTGATTACTCGGTCCCCAGGGCCTACCGCCCGATCTCATTACCGCAGTGGTGACCCGGCGACTATCCTATTTTGCCGAAACTCACGGACTACTACCAGACACCCAGTTTGGGGGCCGGCCGGGGCGGACGACAGAGCAGGCCCTCCTAGTACTGGCTAACGCGATAGACCGGGCATGGTATAAGCAAAAGGTTGTCACACTCGTAGCTTTTGATCTGAAAGGTGCATTCAACGGGGTCAACAAAAAGAGCCTGGATACCCGCCTGCGCTTCAAGAAGATACCAGCGGTGGCCAGAAGGTGGATCGTTAGCTTCATGAGCAACCGATTTGCTAGCATCGAATTCGATGACTTTGAGACAGAGATAGCCCCGCTGGAGAATGCTGGACTAGCGCAAGGGTCACCCCTCTCCCCTATCTTTTTCGCGTTTTTCAACTCTGATCTGGTGGACCAACCCGTCGACTTTCACGGTGGTGCGTCGGCCTACATCGACGTCTACTTCCGGTGGCGGGCTGGGGGGACGGCAGAAGAGAACCTAGAGAATATCCAGACCGAAGACATCCCTCGTATTGAGGCATGGGCCCGGAGAACTGGGTCCTGCTTCGCTGCAGAGAAAACCAAACTCATCCATCTCACTAGGAAGAAACGCGAGCAAGGGAAAGGCCAGATAATTATGGATGGCAAGGTGATTGAGCCGTCGTCCACCGCGAAGCTACTGGGCGTAATATTCGACCAGGAGCTACGCTGGAAAGAACACGTGCAACAGGCAGTTAAGCGAGCAACGAAAGTGAACATTGCCCTCGGCAGGCTGAGACAGCTTCGCCCGGAGCAGATGAGACAGCTCTACCAGGCGTGTATCGCACCGGTGGTAGACTACGCATCAACAGTGTGGCACAACCCACTCAAAGACAAAACACATCTACGATTGCTGGGCACCGTTCAACGATGTGCGCTCATCCGCATCCTCTCCGCATTCAGAACTGTAGCGACCTCCACACTGGAGGTAGAAGCATACGTACTGCCAACGCACCTACGTCTCCGACACCGCGCACAAAATGTCATCACAAGGCTACATACCATTCCGCGTGACCATCCCATATTGTCCGCGCTGTCCCGAGCCCAGAAACGCAGAGACAACATCGGGTCATACTCACGGTTCCCACTGGCCGAGGCCTTGAAGACCATGAGTCTCGAAAGGTTGGAGAGTTTGGAAACTATTGACCCGAGACCACTTCCACCATGGAGACCCGATGCTTTTAAGGAGGTTGAAATTGAACCAGACCGGGAGATCGCAAAAGAGAAATCTCGGACATTGTTGTCTACTCGGACGCACGCCTCAGGACACCATGACCATCTGGGAGTCGCAGTTGTTACGCTCGATAAGGACCAAGAAGTTATAGAATCCCACCAAATCCAGGTCGGACCAATGGAACAGTGGTCGATCCATGTTGCCGAACTGATTGGAATATTCCATGCCATCAGCTTAGTGTACAAACTCGCCTATCAGAACCAAAGGTCAACGCTTACACCACCGACATCAGCCACAATCCTGTGCGACAGCATATCGGCACTGCAAGCAATCCGAAACCCGAGTAACAAGTCAGGGCAACGAATCACCCATGCCATCTTACAGGCAGCTTCTGAGGTCCAGGCAAACGGGACCTCTCTCCGCCTCCAATGGATGCCTGGGCATTGTGATAACCCCGGAAACGACGCAGCGGACCGACTGGCGAAGAACGCAGCCAGCCCAGGCAAGACACACCCATTCTGTCCCCTCTTGTCTAGGGAGAAGGCATTCATCCGCAACGGCATTCACGCACAATGGGAGCAAGAGTGGAAAGCTTCCACGAAAGTGAGTCAGTCACCTTCGCAGAATTGACAACACGCTGCCTGCCACCTATACGAGAAGATTATACGGCTCACTGCCGAGGAGCCGGGCTTACCTGCTAACGCAGCTGCGGACCGGCCACTGTTGGCTATCAACATACCGCAAAGCGCGCGGTTTCACTAAGGAAGACGATTGTGTCTGCGGAGCACAAGAAACCGTGGTTCACGTGCTGGTGGACTGCCCGAAGTGAGAACCCTGCGCCAGGAGCTACGGAGGAAAGTTGGCGACGCGTTCAATAGCGTTTCGAGTCTGCTGGGAGGTCGTGAAGAAGGTAAGGAGAGTAAGCAGAATACTGCCACGCGAGCCACCACAGTGGAAGCTATACTGGACTTTGCGGAGGCGTCACAACGGTTCCAAAGTCGCGCGTCTGAGGACAGTCTGATAGCATAAACGGCAATTGGCCAGGGCAGGCCTTGACGAGGCTCTAAGCTCGTTGTTAGGCAGTGGTACCCCCTACATGTACATACAAGGTTATATATAGTTGTGGTAGCCTGCATATCGCTCAGCGAGTTGGATTCTAAACCACAACCCACTAGGCTGGGTACAGATTCGTATTTTGGTCTAGTGGTCAAATCAACTCAGCGATGGGTCGGGGTAAATGATTTCACATACACACACAGCCTGTATCTACTGTGGGATAGGAAGAATGCTTAGAATTAGGGCACCCAGAACCGGCCAAAAGAAACGCACTGGGATTTATTGCAGCTTGTTTATGTGTACCATCATTCATGGCTCTCAAAGCGCGTACCACCAGTTCTAAGAAGAGATCATGTTACAGTACATGTACTGGAGTAATCTCGAGAAGGAAGCACTTTACGGTGTGGTGTGTTCTTCGAGTTCATGGAGAATCAGATTTTATTTTGCTTAGCTAATTTAGAATTGAATACGATCCGCCGCGTAATTCTGGTGAACACCGAGCGTCTCCCGTAGCAGGTTGGCCACTTCCTTGTGGTCTCTACGACATGCCCAGATGAGTGGCGTCTCACCGTTGATATCCTGCGGGTTCGGATCGACATCCCCCCGATGGACCAATTGCCTCACAATGCTTTCATGACCTCCCTTTGCCGCCCAGAGAAGGGCTGTCCGACCCAGCCGGTCCCTCGCGTCTGCTTCTACCTCCTTTCGGTCTGCTAATAGTTTGAACACTGCCTCATGTCCTCCTTTGGCTGCGCAAAGCAGAGCTGTCTGACCTCCCTTGTCCCGTCCGTCGATTTCCGCATCACCCCGTTCAACCAGGAGTTTCACTATTCCGGGACGCCCTTCCACCGCTGCCAATATGAGTGGTGTCTGCCCATCATTGTCCCGATGAGACAGAGTCAGCTCTTTTCGAGTGAATAGGTACTCAATCGCCTTTCCATGTCCATTTACCGCGGCCCATGAAAGCGCAGTTCGACCAAGGTGGTCTGTAGAGTTCACATTCACATCCTCCCTCAGCGCCAAGAGCTTCACTACCATATCGTGGCCTTCCTTTGCAGCCCAGATTAGGGGTGATCGACCGAAACTGTCCTTGGGGTCAGCATCGATGCCTGTTTCACGCAACAGCAGCTCGACCACTTCGTCATGCCCTGCATAAGCGGCGCGTGAGAGTGGCGTCCACCCATCATTGTCATGACAATGTACGGTCACATCACTTTGCATCAAGAACAGTTCCAACAAGGCCTTGTGACCGCTGTGAGATGCCTCTAACAGAAGTGTGTTGCCAAACACGTCTATAGGGTTGGCATTGACATCCTCTCGCGCGAGTAACAGTTTTACAATGTGCTCTTGTCCGACCACTGTGGCATGAAAAAGCGGTGTCCGATCATTTTCGTCCTTTGAGTCGACTTCAACGTCGCCCCGCATCAAAAGCTGGTTAACAATATCCTCAGATCCCGCCGTAGCAGCCCATGATAACGGAGTTCGACCAAATTTATCTTTAGAATCCGCCTTCACCTTTTTTCGCTCTAACAAGAGCTTCGCCACTGCATATTGCCCTTCCTTGGCTGCCCACGATAGTGGTGTTTGGCCACAGATGTCCTTGGCATCAGGTGTTACACTCGGGGAGGCCAGTAACTGCTTCACCACTTCGACGTGTCCTCCTTTTGCTGCCCATAACAGCGGTGTCAAGCCGTCTCGTGTTTTAGAGCCGGGGTTGACGTCATCTCGTTCCAATAACAGTTTCACCACTTCTTCATGACCTCCCTGCGATGCCCATGAGAGTGGTGTTCGACGAAGTCTGTCTTCAGCGTCCGCATTGATAGCGTCTGCTTTAACAGGTTCGGTTGGCTCCGGGGACGTTGCCGCCGCATTATAGATGTCCTCTGACGTAGAAAAGAGTGAACAGAACTCATAATCAGACGTCTCGTCGTTCCTAGCATCTGTGTTGAGGAGTCGTCTCAGAACGATGCTGTGGCCTTGTGACGCGGCGAGGTGCAAAGGCGTTCGCTCATACGAGTCTCTGGCCATAGGCCGTGCTCCCTTTTCGAGCAACAGGTTCACCAGCACAATGTGACCTCGATGTGCAGCCCAGTGTAAGGCGGTTGAGAAGTACTTAGTACTGGTGTTGACGTCGAGGCTGTCGCGTAGAAGTCGATTCATAAGTGATAAATCGTCGTCATAGGCGGCTGCTACTAGAGCGCCGGCACAATCCTCACTCTCGGATATGTCGTCAGGGCCATTATCGTGATTTAATTGTTCCACAGCGTTGTATTTCCCCAGGTTTGACACAGTGACACGACAGAGGATATGCCAGTATTTTTCACTAATCGTGTTACCATCATGCGAGCTACCTTGGAGCAAGCGCAGGGTGAATTGGGCAGTTCTGTGGATGGCAGCTACCAGAGCGTTCTCGCTCTTGGCGCCAGCCTTGACAATCTCGAAGAGTAACCGAGTAACCATTTGGTCGTTCATGCAGTCAGTCTGCTGCAAGACACTGTGATCAACATCAAGTTTACCAAAAGCGTAGTGACGGATGTTGTGATCAAAATATCCTTGAAAAATCTAGTTAAGTTATTGGCTCTTGACATTTAGATTTCTGGCATGCAACCCCTCCCGTGAGATAGGATCAGGGAGAGTGGGAACTCTTACTACAAACAAGCCTGAGATTGAGTTTGCTGCGTCTATTGGGAGATCGCAGCCAATCGTGGCAGAAAACAAACCCCAGGACCTGCTGAAGGAGCTCTGCAGGGAGAGTATCAAGCCCCATGTCGATAGCGGAATTGAGGAACACAATCAGCCTTTCAATACCACAAGCATTCAGGAATCAAGTAGGAGACAGAGTTAACATTGGACGTAAAAGGCACCTAGAAGTTTCGGATGTTCCGGGTTCGGATTTCGGATTTCGGATTTACTCCTACCCCGTTCCAGCTAACCTTGATCCATGGATATGCGAGGACAGTCCCACCTGTCAGATCACGTGTAGCCCGGGTCCAGACCTCGTCATATTACATTTTGGGGCACCGCCCCGTTATACGTCTCTAATCACATGATAGCTTTTCAATTAAGCACATGGCCATTTCAATTCGTTGTTCACCCAGCCTCGGCCACTGGGTCGAGGATACCGCAAGGACTCAATAAGTGGGCAATCGATCCCCCTTCTTCTGGAGGCATAGAGGAGGATATGACTACCGAGCCAGAGGATATAAACTTTGATTCGGACTGGTCATGCTGAGAAGGCCTCATTTCGTGCAGATAACTTATTCCACGCGAGCATAAATTGATACCGTACCAGCGCCTTTGCTAGGCCAGTCTACTCTTGCTTCAGTAATGTTAATATGGAAGCGAGCATTGTGTGCTGTATCTTGTTTGTTCTCTGTGGTCAGGTTACAATCCCAAATGGGAGAGGCAATAGACTGCCCGGGCGGTTCAGGGGTTCGCATCGCGGCCCGTCCCGCCATTGTTCAAAATCGATATCGGAAGTCGGTTCCGTCGCCACGTGGCACAAGTTCTCGTTGCTTTTCTGTATTGTACAGTCCTCAACTTCTTCCTAGACTCAGATAATAGTGGCTTTCTGAATTCGATACAGTCACTGTCCTACCGAGGAGCACTATAGTAGTATTCGAAATCAGTTATACCTCCACACTCTTGCGACTTGATTCCCCGAAAATAAATCTGAAAATGCGCAAGTCCTGATTGGATGATGCGGCAGCCTCCGATCTTCAGACCGCTTTCTAAAATGAGCATTGTATTTCACAATACGAAGGCGAACTTGTCTGTCTGTATTTTAAACAACTGCTCCACACTCGCTACCTCATTGCCTTTTCCTTTTCCCGAATCAGGCTTTCCTCCGGACCCTCACCTATTCTTCTTGCGCATCATACAAGGGTTTCCACGATTAGATTACACATCAGTTTTTCAAATCCTTCTTTCTACAAAGCACCATATCAACCGCGATATCAGAGATCCACGATTTTACCACGTCTCAGATAGCCGAGAGAGCCGAATGCCAAAGCTTTACGATCATAAACACCCGGTTAAAAAAGTAAAAAAAATAAACACTTGCAACTGTAAACGTACACCAAAGCCAAATGGGTCGGAAATGAATTGTGACCACCGATGACACAGTAGTGGCCGTTTATTACTTGTGCCTCAAGAACGACTCTCTCTACCTAGATGGGATATCTATCTCATGGCATGAGTTTCAGTCCATGATTCTAACCTGCTGCAGCCCTTGCCACTTAAGGTTGTAGCAACCAAGGATTACGCTGCCACATGATTGGGAACGAAATTCGTATTAGAAATATTCATGTCATATCTGCTCAATTTGTCGAACATTCCATCCAATCGTAACACCCTCTTTGTCCAAATTACCTCATACATAACTTGTGGGATTCATCAGGAGTGCCCGCGAAAAAAGAACGATTCAAATAGTGGATGTAACAGTTTGGATAATCATTCAACGCTTAGAATCCTTCCGTAGCTTCTCGCAAATTGTAAGAAAAGTGGTCAAAGCCGTAAGGCTAAAATTATCACCGAAGGGCACTAGGATTTGTAGTGTCCCGCATTTAGTTGAGTCGGTCGTAATATCATGGACTATGGCAGCCACTGTATCTGTCTCTTCATCCACTAGCATCAGCCTAGATGTACGTTTCCAGATGAAGAGTCGGGGTCCGCTGGCGTTGGACAAACTACCACTTGCATGTGGGGGGAAATACACCAACGTTGTAAATCGGTATTGGATAGAAATTGGTGCATTTTGATGCATATCAGCCCACCACAAAGTAGTTAGCTTGCCACTCGGGCTTTTTGCATAGCAAATATCATTGAGACCAGTTTCGGTGAATTCACAACGGGCCAATTCTTGATTGAGCGCATTAGTCCCACTTTCATAAACAATGAACTTTGGCTTTGGGAGACTCTGGAGATGGGACTGAGCATGCAATTTTAAAAAGTGATCCCCTGAAAAGATGCCGTAATTGTGGTCGTCGTAGCGAAAGATGTGCAGTATCACTGGCTCATTGCCTTCCGACAGCGCTGCAGTTATGAGAGGGTCTTGGGCCCGATATTTAGGAGGAGAATCCAGGATGTCCATGCCAGCTGAAATAATGTTTTAGGTTTGTCTTTGGGCATTTATCCAGATGAGCCTCATCGTGGCCCTTCTGAAGAGTATTAAAAGATGAACAAAGACTCTTTGGCTGTAAATAAGTGATGACGCACTCCAGGGTTGTTTGGCAATCGCCCCTTTGTCTTGGGCAATGACTCATTGATCGGTGTACGGCTATTACCAATACAGTTCTGCCGTAACTAAAAGTCAGTGACCTAGAATGGCTTAGCTCGTATCGGATATATTTTCCCGGAATCAAATCATAAGAGTGAGTTGGTATAGCTGATTTCGAAAATTACTGTACAGGAAGTAGTCTAGTTCGGTTTGAACCCAGCATGGGCTAGAAAGCCGAAGACCTGGCACCGAACAGCGGGACCAGCGAAAGACATGCCCAGCTGGCACTTCGACGCATAGGCATGCAGGGGCGTGACAGTACCCGTTGCGTGCAATGTCCGGACACGTCCCATGTGCCATAACGGTATTGAGCCATTCTGTGTGGCGTGTCTTCGTAGTTCCACCACAATACCAGGGTCTGCTTCGTGTTGCTACAGAAACGGAGCGACCAATAGCTCGTGGTATAAGTGTTGTAGTTCAGAGGTATTAATTGATTATTTTCTCAGAGGGAGACACGAGGCTATATATATATACACAGTGAAGGCATCTACTTGCATCATGTATTTCTTCCACGCAGAAAGAACTGGAAGCTTCTTGATCTGCAACAGCCTCATATCACAACAATAAGCAGTAGCAGCACCGTCTAGAGTAGACAATCGCATTATCTCTCCGAAGTTGCATAATCAGTAAATTAGAGCGGAGTTAAGGCACGAATGAGCGAAGAGCCAGGGGAGGTTGAAGGTGGAGTTTCGAGGCCGCACTTTGACAACAAGCTGCAGAGCCCCTTTAGACTCCCCGCCACAGATACAGAGTCTCGAAGCTCATGCTCAATTATTTTCGGGTCTCCTTGGTGGTGGTAGGGATAAGAAGGGCATTGCCAGGCGTGCGGGTGTCCCAAGATGCCTGTGTCGGGCTGGGAGTCAGATTCACGAAATCGGCGAAATTGAACTGCGGGCTCGAAGTTCTTAGGGTCGCAAACATGCCGCCACCTAGTGTGGGAGTCTTTGATGGCAAGACTGCATGCTGACTTGGAGGAATGGAAGGGGGGAAGACCTGATTGCTTCCAACTACCTGGGCTGGGGTGGGGGAGTCCACAATATACGGTGGCAAGTCTGACCTATTCGCTTCTTCAATATACCGGCCGGTTCGTGCCAATCGTGAGTGCTTTCGGGGAGAAATTAGTGGCGGAGAGGAGCCTATCGTCGAGCTCGCATTCTGGTGACTGGGCAGCGGCAGCTCAGAATCGGTTTCTTCGTCAGACGGTTGATGAAAGACAGACGGTGTTTCTGGAATTGAGGCCGCAGCCATAAAGGCTGTAAGATGCCCCTTCGTGCCAGGAGAAGAGTTTGCCAGCTGGTAAGAGCTCTTCCGCGAGACTCGGGGTGCCTTTTTAGGGCGCACCGAGGCTGAATCCGACTGAAGACGCTTGCGGCTGGCAAAACTCATCGGCTGCATCACTGGAGAGTTGAGGGAGAATGCATGCTTGTTGCGGGCTGATCGAGGTGGTTCCTGGTAGGTCGAGGCTCGGAGAGGCGGAGAAGTCAATAGGGTTCCGCAACGACTGCGTAGAGACTCCAACGAGATGTCTAGGGGCTTGTCGCTATCCAAGGGCTGGCTCGAGTACAAGCCGTGAAGCGGACCATGTTGGTATTTGAGTTTGGCCAGGCCTAATCGATACCGCAGATTTAAGGATACCTGGCGCAGGACAAATTTAGCTAGGCTTGTTTATAAGGAGCCATTGGTGGGCGAGATATAGGCTATATTGGAGGCTTATGATGTCCGGATTCATTGCTGCAATCCAGAAATCTCCGATTGGTATATATTTTTTTCTTCCGCTCGATTCTTACCTGAGCGATGTGGGTTTTGCGAATGGTCTTCTCAGCCGAACTAGGCTGCAATAGTGTCATGGTGGGCGACGAAGAGAAATGCTGTTCGAGAGTACAAAGGGAGAAAGCTAGGTCTTTGCGGACTGCAGATGTAAGGAGAGCTGCGTAGGCGGATGAGAAAGGAGCCCCCGGACTTCAAGCTGAAGATCGCCTCGGCAAATGAGAGCAGGCCAGATTTGTACATTTTATTCCCCTGTTCTCCACTAACGTATTTGTTGAAAGGAACTTCAATCTGGTCAAAATGGCACTGCAGATTGCCGTAAATGTACACTGAAGATATATTAGCGGTACAGTGTGTGTGTGTGTAAAACGTTTACACAAATTAGCTTTATTTGGATGAGCTGTTATTATTACAGCTGTATTATTATTATTATCATTACCTTACAGTAATTTACCCTGACTCCTCGTCGAGTTGAAACTGTCGGAACGTGGTCGTTACAGTACGGACCAGTACGGGAATAGCCAATGAAGTACTTGAGAGTGTCTATTATCTACAGGTGACGCGCTGCGCACGCTGTGGCCCTGAAACGATGAAAATGAAAGGCAGGGATAAGAAAGTCAAAGACAGTCATTTGATCCGCTTGACTGATACTAATGCAGTGAGCATTGACCAATGGGAAGGGTAAGACAGTATGACTAATAGCCGCAACATCGTGGAAAACAGAAACATCAGTAATCATGTCGATTCCAAGAGAATACGGTACGCGCTAGTATACGAAAGGACCAATGGTAGGTTCCGTTGATGTCAACTTTCTGACACCATTCACCACCCGTACATCGCGAAAGGTGCTGGAATGAGAACACTCAAAAAGATACTATGATATCGGCACAATACCAGCGGATTATGATCAAAGAACCTAAAGGCTCCAGAATTCCCGGAAGCACAAAACAGACTCTCGGTCAGTCGGATCTTTTATCGTGGCTTTCGTAAATACTAGGGCTTAAGAATAGAAGCTGTTTTCAAACCTCTTGAGTTCTGAAGTCGATTATACTTTTCCTGAGCTGAAAAAGTAGGACATAGCACAATCCTTGAAGAAACTGAAGACCGTCTTGCCCTTTTCTTAGGTGCTACTAGCCTTCATCAAAACATGAGTGAGCTGCTCTAACTTATCACTATCGATGTGCTTGGACACGAAAGAGTCCATCGTGTGAAGCCCGTCTCGGGTTCAGTCATGTACGAAAATGGACCCAGTGATACCTACATAATTGGGAACGAGCCAGACATGTTTTGCAAGGTCTCACCCTGACGTGAAAGAGACCAAGTCGGGGTCTTCAACCACCAATTGGGGTCTAAAGGCACCGGCAGTTGAAACCGGCTTGGAAGACTTATATTCATGTCGAACAGTCCGGGTGAGTTCATGGCCCGCGGCGAGCAGGGCACTAGCAAGGGTTCTGGGGCGACTGACTCCAGGTGCATAAGTGGCGACTCACCTGCCACCGGACACGCCCCAGTGTATGGCAAGTCGAGGGATAATGCCAATGGTAATGCCCCAGAATTCCAGGAATCTAGCGTATTTGTTGTATGGGCCTGATCCACAGCCATCATAGCCAGAACCCTGGCTTCAGGTATTGTTCTTATCTCGCTGCTAGGGTCGCCTGTGCCAATTGCCGGATACTTTGAGAATCCTGAAGGTTTATCTAGCCGAAACTCGAGATTTCAGCCGATGAACTAGGATGCCTGTTTGGCGCAACCGCGAAGAGTCCGACTTACCTGTCTTGATGTCCATCGAGGAGTAGCCCGCAGAAGTGTTCTGATGAAGATATGAGGATTCCTTCAAAGGGAATGGAACACATGGATAAAACATGTCCATGGGTTCGGGGTTCAGGCGGGTTGGTCTTATCCTAACCGAATGTTCCGAGAAACTCGTCCCTAGCTTCGGGCTAATGGCGCCTTTTTTCTCTGCTGAGGAATTTCGATTGACACGGTAAAACCGGCAATCCTTCCGTAGTCGAACACAGTTCTGACAACGTTTCTGTGTATGGTCTGCTGCGATCAGACATCGGGTCTTCCGTCGCCGGCAGTGCACTACAAAACCGTGTAAGTCCACTTGTAATAACATCGAAGCTAAATCCAGAAACTCCTTAATCGGCAGTTCCCCACGCACAATGACGATGCCAGGGACAAGGAATGGTGTCCATAATGGTTTGAGGGCGACACTGACCGCATGCGACAGATATCCGATGATATCCCAACATATTGCGCTTCGTATTCGTTGTGTTCGAGTCACCTCCCATGGTGTCTAAGGTTTTGGCCGTCTGCCTCGATTATACAAGACTGAATGAAAGCCTAAAAGAGCTTAATTACCGTTAGTCGAGGATAGTAGTTTGATTGAAGCCGAAAGCAAATAGATTGCGGCTTGGCGGTCAGCCTCACAAAGAAATATCGATTTATGCGGTCTACGTTCCAGACACCAGCGATCTCTGAAACTGTAGTGATAACCTGTAAAAGATCCGGCGAGGTTGAAGATAGAAGCGTCTAGGTTGGAAGTTTGATGATGGAATGGCACGGTCACTTTCCAATATTTGATTGGCGCCGAGGAATTATGCATTTGTATCTGATCAAAGAGGAGTTGAGATAGACTTTGGGCTTTTAAAGCAAACAGAGGGAATTTGGCCCTGGAATTTTTGGCTTTTGAAAACACAAACAAGCTGCATACCCGAGGTCATCCCTGGGAAAGCCCCTTTCTTCTCCTCGACGCGGGCTTAACTTTATCGCCTCCTGGCGGTCAGGAGTGCAGATCCCATGCTTCTTATGTGTGCCAATGACTGACCATTTCGCTGAGTACATGGGACCATTATGCACCTCTCTATCATTGAACCTCCAATTCACTGATCACCTAGGTACTGTCCCTCCAAATGACACTCAATAATGCTCTCACATAGACTCTCGGGCTTTAAAGGAACAAACACCCCAATTTCAGGGGCTGCAAAAAAAAACCAGCGTTGTCAATATGATAAATCAGCGGCATTATTGAAAATGAGACGAAAGAAACTAATGTGCGATCAATAAGGGACGGGAAGGCCGGAGCAGCCTCGGGGTAATTGGGAGAGCAATAGAGATCAGGATTGTCGTGCCCATTTTCTCCCACCCACAAATAGTAACATGTTTCTCAGCTGAGCTGGAGCTCGACTTGTAAGCGACAAAACATCTTGGGGTCTGTCGCACGCGCGTGCCAGGACAAGGGATTGGAATTGGGCGTGCCGGGATGTGGGGCCGTCAAAAGTGGTCTCGCAATAAATCGACCGAAGCCCTATCATATGTATTCGACGAGCGCATACCATCCCAAATTTACCATCGAAGTATGGAAACTAGCTATGAAGCCTCAGACAAGTCATATAATGCCTCTGCAATGCATTTTTCCCACTTTAGCTTTTCTTAGAGGAAAAGGGATGGAGATTTTGACAGAGAGCCAAATATGCACGTCAAACGTCAAATTCTAGCTGTGCGACAGTAAGATCAGAAGGGGTTTGAACATGATCATCCCCATTATAGAAAAAGAAGGCAGATTTTTCAGTTGTTGTAAGTTTAATAAATCGATGAGGGTGGCTCCTGCCTATTTTGTTGTTCATTCTTCGGTTCGTCATTTGCCCACTAAAGAGCAACCATCATGGAAAGTCACAATGGCAAGAGTACAACAACCCATTTCGATATTCCGTCACCCTTGAGCATGAACCTCCACCTACATTGCAACAAGGATCTCCCTTTACCATATTCGTGAGAGTCAGGCTCCAGGGCACGAGAAAACCCCTAATGCAAAGCTTCGCCCTCAATTTCTCTCTCCGGGAAGCCGAAGACCTTCACCCACTTAACGCAATGAGTGAAAGCTTAACATCTTCCGTACAAGGCTGCAATACAACTGCGCAGGACATCTTGTACAATTCAACGGCCTCATCATTCACCAACCAGGACAATATCGATTTCGAATTCTGCTGGTAGCTTCTTCATTAGCTGAGACGATCGTAACAACACGTGTCGATTCAAATCTAATCGAAGTTGGCAGGAACGCCGCTGTTTCGCCATTCCGACCTGCCGCCTTGCGCTAATCATGCTGTGTTTGCTACCTACCGTTACCTTGCAACAATCAACAACTTGAGAGACGATGAACCGTCGATCATTAAAATCATATGGACAAATCGTTTTTAATGAACCACGGAAACGCTCGGTCGGCGGAAATTATCATTTACTCATTACAAGCTGATCTCCTGTCATAGGTCGTGCGACGCGAGTATCAATCCCGTGTTGACCTAAAGAAACACGATCGTCATCTTGGATGTGGGACTATGTGCATCGTGTCTGTGCTGCCAGGAAGCTTGAATAGCAGTGAACAGAACGTTCATGCTAGCAGCAGATTGTTGACACGCGGTTTACATCGGAATATCGAAGCAACAGTGGTCAACTATCTCGATAACTAGTCCTGGTGCACGTTTCTATAACAAACGGCTGCGATAGCTCCGCAAGGAAGCCGCAGCATGAGGAATTCCGTCGTGGCTGTACATATCACCTCATGTAATTATAAAAACAAGAGAAATCACTCTTCCTATCGAGAGTGTCCCAGATGTCAAACTTTGTAAAATGGAGGACTTTTCCGTGTGCCTTCGAAACAGACCCGTCTACAGTGCTGTTATAAGTCCGCTATACTTGCACATTCTTCATTATTGTCTCTTTAATTCAGGAGTATGTCATCGGAGTCCCATGCGGCCTGGAAAATACTGCGGGAAATGTATAAAGACCCACAGAACTATGAGTATCCTCGGAACAAGATCAGGACATGGTAGGAAGGGGGCTCCCTGAAAAATTTTAAAACCCACTTAATTCTTGTCAGCTCGAGGTAATATCTTTGGTTGCATTTTCAAATGGATTCGGTTAGATGGGTGGTCGAAGGCAGAGTGATCTGTAGAGTAGAAGTTGAGGCATACGACTTATTTTCGAATCACGCCCTAGTCATATTTGACGAGAAGCAAAGGTTTTCCGAGTCAGTTCAAAACTGGCAGACTCAAATCATAGGAAAAAGTTAGATTCACAAGAATAGTGAGCGGGACCGTCGATCAGTAGCCGAATCCCAAGTCAATTCGACAACTAACTTTAGATGAACCATGGAAACGCTCGCTCGGTGAGAGAATGCGGTTGTTAGCAGAACTTCATCGAAAGCTTATCTATAGGCTTCTGCTCCACTTGTTTGTTGGATTGGCGTGATAAAATCTGTCCCAGAGTCCGAAAATTCAGAGAGAAAATCGAGGTACTCTCTCCAAGGTCTCATGCTGGCGAAGTATAGTATATTGTAGAAGGAAACAACTTTATTCGTAAATATTCTCGGTCGCCAGAGTAATGGTCAAGATGCGCTGGGTGCTTGAAATAAACTTTGTGGGTCGGCCGGGACCAATCGGTTTCCCGGCCTCTAGTGCAAAAACCGGACACTTTGTTTAGATCTACCATCTTGTCCTTACATAATTGGCATATTTTTTACAAGCCATCTGCTAGATATATCAGACTAGCGATCGAATTTGGCAGATGGAGAGGATGGGTCGGCCCAAAGAGAGTATGCTTTCTACGAGGAAGGTTTATGCAGGACAGAAGACATAGCTTCTAGAACGTTCTATAGACAAGATAGAGAGAGTAACAGCTTCCCACTCGACGGAGGACCAATCACTCTCTTGCGAGGGCAGCTGAACCGCGGATCGGATCTCTGTTGCCAAAAGTCGGTGTGATATTCCAAATACCTCATCTGCCCCAACCAGACTCCTAAGCAACAAAGACCTGTTCCATCCGCACACTGACGGCCCGTCAAGACTAGGTTTGTGGATCGTGTCTGGACCATTGCAAATCCTTCGAATTTCTCCGGGGCCACAATTAGAACCTCCATGATCTACTGTCCCGTGGGTCATCGCTGAAATTTTCATCACAGGACCGTACCAGCGTCCGTCCACATTCATAGGCGGTGTTTGATTGGTGCTACTGGTGTTTCTTGTGTCCAGATTCTCATCAGAGTGTGATAGTAGCGTTGCAATATCGCGAGGTGGGCGACGATCGACGAGGAACCATCTCATGAGCCATGGTAGCTGAAATGACTCACTTAGTTGTCCTGGAAACTGGGCCCGGGTTCCTATTCTGGGCTTTCCAACAAAGTCTACACTTTTTGATTCTCCGTCAAAGAATACAGCCAACATCCTGGATTTGGGAGTAGGTTCGCAGTGTCTGTGGCGCCTGGTGGCAGAAATTCCAGTGAAGGCAACATCAGTTGGCCGCGAGCAACAGAAAATAAGTACCGTTCGAGCAGTGCGGGGCAAGGAGATAGACAAAATTCTAGTGGGATCAATGGGAGGCACTCCTTGAGGCCAACAACCGGTACAATCGAATGTGACTGTCTCCCACAAAGTGTCCAACCCATTATTCGGCATCTGTTGAAGCACTTCAATCCTCAAGAAAGAGATGGTGACCGTGGCTAGTGACCATGGTCAAAACGGGCAGAGTAGTCTGCCACCGCGTTGAGCGATTTAATTACAAATTCAATGATATGTGAGAATCATATTCTTGCCGTATCACTGTCTTTTCAACCGTTGATGAAGTGGTTCACCATACTCAACGCAGGTTTTTGAAAGTAATGAATCCTGATCGAAACTTGAATCTGTAGGCCACAAAGTCTCCAAACACCATTGCAACGTTGTTCAAATGTCTTCAACGCCAATAACGAGACAGTGGTTCTCGCTACCATCTGCGCAACTGGTTCCT